ATGGGTCTGCTTTTTTATGAACACTCGAGCGTATTCAAGTTCGCAGCGTGTTTTGAATGTGTTTCTGGGCGGACAAGGTCCACGCCCATCCACCGTCCACCACCCACCAGCAACAACAAACAAACGACACGGACAAGTGGCAAATGCATTTTATTTGCAACATGTATTATGCGCAAAAATTGCCGGGCTTAAAGGTAAAGTCAAGTGCAAAGCGTTGCCCTCGAGCATCATCAAGTGGCTCCAAAAAAAAAAATATTGCTTGCAGCTGGAAAATAATTTCCAAAGAGACAAGGAAAATTCGAAACAAATTGGCAGTAGTCTTTGCGTTTAAAATGTTTACCTCAAACAGTAGAAAATGCTAAAAAAAATCCAGGAAGTAAAATGAAATGCTGTGTCAACAGTCTTACCCCAAAAGAATTTTATACAAATTACTTTCCGATTTACAAGGCACAAAAATATCAATAAATTCAAGATATTAAAAGTATGACGCAAAAGGCTAATTTTCATATTTTCGAATGAAAGCCCCTTGTATTAAAAAATGTTCTTTCATTTATTGGCAGCATTTGAAAGCACTCCAGCGCCATATTTAAGCCACCTTTCCGCCAGGTGAGCTGGCAGCAAAGAAATGAGCTCGTGTGCCTGAAAAGTGAGCTGCCAATAAAAAAGATTAAAATGCAGCCATAAAATACACAATTTTATACACAGTGCCTTAATGAAAAGCTGCCGACAAAATGTGGAAGCCGCATCGCCAGCGCCATCCTCATCCCCGCCGGATAAAAGCGAATTTCATGCTTAAGCTCTGTAAAATTAACATTTAATTGAAGCCTACAATTCAGTGCTTTCGGCAGTGCCAAAAAATTGGTCGAGGAGGGGCGGTGGGCGATGAAGGAGGTTACTGCAGGTCCCAGGACACAAGCACACACATTTGAGCCAGACAAGTGCAGTGGGTTCGGGGCGCCAGGGGACTGCATGTTTTGATAGCGTAAATTATGTTATAAAATTTATTTAATTTCACTTTTCTGAACGTTTTGTTGCCCTGACACTGGCCCACGGAATGTGCGCCGGGCATGCAAAAGGGAGTCGAGTCGAGCCCACCACCATCACCCCGAATTTCATCCACCTGACGACGCACTCAGCACTCCCATATGTACTTGTCCACCCACCCCTTCCTCCTGCCGAAAAAACCCCGGCCAAAGCCAACACAGACATATCCATATCAACTGGCAGCGGAGTGAAAAGTCCCTGGAGTATTGCAAATTGTGCAGGGTCTGCTTTGCACGGAACCCCTTTGTCCCCTTTCTCCGTACGCCCATCCACTTTCACAGCGTTGCGTGCCCAGTGCGCATATTTATGTAAGCAAGCCAAGAAACACGCTCGAATTTTCGGCAGTCGAATGGCCATGCACTGAGAAAAATACCTCAAGCCTACGGTTATCGTTTGATGCCACTATTCGGATTTCAAATTGACTTTAAAAAATATTTTTATTACATGCTATTTAAGATATAAATATTTTACAAACAGTTTATTATAAGTTCCACTAAACTTATTTTCATAAATTCCATGGGGTTTTGAAAATAGCAGTTTAACTAGTTCATAAGTTATAAGTTAATAATAAACAATTTTTACATGTGTAACAATAAAAAACAATATTCCAGATTAGCTTGTCAGATAATATTATTTTATAATCGTTGGTGTTATTCCTTTCAATTAACTTCTTTATTAAAGGAAATGCAAGTTTATATATTTTTAAATTAAAATATATTAAATTTTCAATTATATAGTTTTGAATTGTGAGAATAAGACAAAACATATATAAATATATTACATCTGAAAAAATATTAATAACAAGTTTCTTATATGAAACGATGAAAAAAGTTGATAATCTTAACAAATATATTTATTTTATTTTGGTAAAAATTATATGTGTTTGTTGGCCAGTAAATATTAAAATGGTACTTACCTTAAGATGTAAGAATATTTTGTACATATTTGTTCTAGGGAATAAATTCCAGCTCTGCTATTTTCTTTTTCTTGTGTAACTCGCAACGAAATGGAAAGCGCGTTCAGGGGCAGCAGTCCGGCATAAGTGAGTCCAAAGCCACTACAACTCATGGCGCACGTGAGTGCTCGCAACGTAGATTTCTTGGGGCACCTGAAACGCGGCCGATTCCCCGGGTGACAGGCGGCTTAAACGACCCGTGGCTGGTTAAATAATTAAACACCAATGACACTTAAACGTAAATCATGAATTTTGCAAGGGGCCCACATTAACCGAATGACGACCCTTTCAAATCGGGCCAAGACCAGGCCATTTGTCGGGCCATAAAAGGAGTGGAGTGGAGTTTCGCCGAGAGAGTAGTAGTCGGAGGAAACTGTCAGCGCCGGCGGAAACAACACCCAAAAAATTACTGTTGCAAAATGCTGTACAAGCTTCCGTCTCCGTCTCCGAGTCCAAGTTCGAGGCTTCCTGCAACAACGAGAACAAGGAGCTCTAAAACTAACACTAACGCCAACAAATCCCCAGCTGCTCGGCTTGTCCAACATTCCGGAGCAAAAGCAAAAGGCAGCTCCACAATGGAAAGAACTATGGCCAACAATTTGTTGCAGCAAACGTTTAGGGGGCTGAAAAGGGGCTAAGGGAAGTACAAAGTCAATGTCGGGATGCCGGCAGAGTTGTCAACGCGCTTAAAGTTGCCTTAATTGCAGTTCTGCTTCTGCTGTTGCTCGTGTTGTTCGTGTTGCTCCTGTTTCTGCACTTTTTATGGCAGCCGTGTCACAGGCGACAGTCCGCAGTCGTCGACAGTTGTCCTTTAGCGACGGGCATGCATAAAATATGCTGCATACTTGGTCGAACATAAGAACTCAAAGGGGAGGGATTGTCGGGCTATCGGTACGAAAGTGGGACTGGCGACATATTTTCCTTTCAGTTTCAGGCTGTTAATTATTATTATAGACGTGTGAGTGTCTGCCGGTCTGGACTGGCAATCGCCAGTCGCCAAACGGCACACGACCCTCGAAGAAAGGCAGGCGACCAGCCAACCACATGCAATAAAACAGCACTTAGTCGTGGACAGGGGCACAAGTGAGCACTGCGAGAAAAAAGGATTAAAAAGGAAAGAAAAATTAGGATATAATTTTCGGTTACTATATACTGGTTGTATACGTTAAGTTAATTTTTCTTATGACAAAAGTCTCAAATTAAAATCACAGTTCAAAATGAGAAGGGTAGAAAATAAAGTGATAAAATTCTCATATGCCTAAAATTATATTCTTAAGAAGTAAAACAAGAACAATATTACTTACTTTGTATGTATACAGTTTTTCACCGTGGACATATGTATTTAACCTTTATCAACGTAAACATTTTAAAATTGGGCCATAATTATTCTTAAAAAATGTTATGTATTTTTATAAAACCTTAATAAATAAACAAAAGTAACCTAACAAAGTTATGTTAAGCCATAGACTTGCAATAGTTTGTTTTCAAACAAATATTAAGCATAGAATAACAATATTAGCAATCTTATTTTTAATAATTTTTTTTCCAGTGCATTCACGAACACAACCGCAAATGGGGAGACAGAGACGTCTACGTTGTCCCGTCCAAAGAGTAGAACGGTGCACCGGGGAATACTTTGCCAAATTGCACAATCTACTCAGTCTCCTGTTCCCTGTTTTACCTCCTGTCGGAGGCGGAGTCGGAGTTGGAGTCGGAGTCGGAGTCCTTTCCCAGGACCTGCCAGACTGGTCTGGCAGTCAGACTCTGGCCACTCATTTGACTACTCGGCCTTGTCGGCGTGGAACTTTAGGCCGCTTAGACTGGAAAACAGTGGGCTTGAACCGTATTTACTCGCCGTCAGATCTGAAATCTGAGATCTGAGGGGCAGATACTTTCGGCAGGTTGATGGCTGACCGAAATAGGAAAGCCAATTATGGGAATTTTATGTCGAGAATTTCCCATTGGAAAATCGCCCTTTATTGCTGTAGAAAACTTTTATTGACAGTCATAAAATGTCATTGATTTTCGGCCAACTAGAGGAATGTTCTGTCTTTTGCATTCATTCAATTTGATTTTATTTCGCAAATAATGGTACCCGATTTGCACTTTTGAAAATGAGTCAAAAAAGTTTATTAAACTTTTTGCACATTATTTATCGCATTTTCTATAATAAATAAAAGAGGAAGTATTTATAAGTCCATAAAAAGTTTAAAGAATGGTCGTTTTATCTGAATGAAAAATGTGTTGAACCATTTAAAGGCAATTTTTTAAATAATTTCCTTAAAATGCTTTTAATAAACATATATTATTTAGAGCTTTTTATAATTCTACAAAAAGTGCTTTATTAGAATTGGACAAACTAAAACCTAAAAACCATCCCAATTGATGTACAATCTTAATGGCTTATATTGACGGCTGTTAATGAGTTAAGTCCCGAACCCAGAGACCAGAAACCAGAAACCAAAGACGTTGACTGACAATTTTTATTGAAACTTGTTGAACTTTTGCCGGTAATTGTTTGCCTTTGGGGCTTTGTTTGTCCGTCTGTGGGGTGACAAAGCCATCTTAAGTAGTTGGCCGCCAGCTTATCGCCGGTCCGAGGAGTCGTTTGAAAGGCATTATTCCTGCTGGTCCGTCTTTTGTCCGGCGATTAGTGGCCATCGGGGCCAGGTGCCCTAATCGCCGGCTGAGCTGTGCAGGAAATGCTGAGAAAGCTGAGAAAGCCAAGATGACCGAATCGGATCGGATCGGATTGGAGCGCGGATCGCGGTGTCTTGGCCAAAAGTCGGCTAATTAGCCGGCACTTTGTGCTGGGCCACTTAATTAGCGGCTCCTAGTGCAGAGCTCCGCGCACATACAAATTGTTGGCGGGGACAATTGCATTCCAGTTGCGCAACAGAAACGGGCGCCAATTAAAGTTGGCGGCAGACTGGGAATTCGAGTTGGCGGCGTCGTCATCCAAAAGTTTGGCGAGCATATTTAAACTTTTTGCGCGCCAGCGTTCGTTGTTGGATTTTATGTGTATGATTTTAATTCCATTAAAAATTGCGACCGGCATGCGAAATATACAGAGGGAGTTAAGGAGAGTGTCACATTTAAAATATTTTTATTGCTAATACTTCTTTTTGTTTTTTTTTTTTCTGTAGCATTTTCTGTTTTTCAGTGCTCGAGGCTAATTAAATGTGTAAATTGTTGGAGTTTTTAATTAAATGCGACAAATGTCTACAAAAATTAAGCGAAGCAGGCATGGACAACAAAAGGATTGGCCAGAGGACCCCAGTGTCCTGGGCTTCTCAATTCCCATGGCTGCTGCTGTTGCATTTATTTGGCTCTATTTTTGGGTGTTTTTTGGCTTGGCATTGGCTTATTTGGCTTACAGCAAAAGCTCGTCAACCTTTTCTAGTTCACTGCAAAAAAGGGCGGCAAATCAAATCAGCGAATTGCGAATGCAAAGCGAGGCAAACGAAAATGGCAAACAATTTGGCAAACTTTTGCTGGATGAGGGCAGGCACAATGGCAACGCGTGCATTTCGTACAATAAGGTAATGCAAATAAAATAATCAAGTAGTCGTAAGTCGTAAGTGGTTAGACAAGGCACATTAGAAGCGCGTTCACTGTAATCAATCTGGCAGGCACAACACTTAACTATTCCTCCTTGTTCTCGACAGCAGGCACCTCCCAGTAATGTTCGTCCTGGTGGTGTTCGTCCTTCTTCAGGTTCCGGAAGTTGGTGTACTTCAAGACGGCCCCTGTTTCGGATGGATGGGAAAACAAAAATGCTGTTATAATTTATAAATATCGGAGACCCTTTAGTAAAAATACTTTTAATATTAATTTAATTTAATCTAATATATTTAACATTTCTTAAATTTAACTGTAAACGCCAATTATACAAACAATTTTAAGCAACAATTTATATCATTTTTGGAACTATGCATAAGCTAAAAAAAAATTTAGCTATCAGTTTTAAATTATTTTAATAAACATAGTAGTAGCAAGATTTTCATCACTTTAAAGTATTTTGGACTGTAGTTTCTAAAGTATTGTCATTCAAGATACACATTTGTGTTTCTCTTTTTTGAAAGTAATAAAAATTATACCGCCATTATGTTTTAAAATTTTTTTTCTCATCCACACTGTATTTTTAACCTTTCATGAGTATTAGAATTGGAGTATTATAAAGTATCTTTAAAGAATTTTGGTTAGAGGATGTTTTCTAAGGTTACAAACTAAAAGTCACACAAACCTGTCAAAATACCCCCTCCAATGGCGATGAGTAGGGTAACAGCAATGCCAAACAATTGGTAGCCCGCCTGCGAAGTGGCATTCCGGCCCAAACCCTGTGAAAAAATATGCGAAAGGGATTAGTGCACCCAACGATGCAGTGTGTGGCAATGAATGCTCACGCCCAGGATTTTGGTCTCCGTTCCGTTGGTGCCCACCATGGCCGGAAAAATGTCCTGCAGCTCGGATTGGTAATCGCCCACGGTGGCCATCGAGGCGTAAATGGCCGAGGCAATGGCTGAAATCAGGGCCGGCATGCCGTGCAGGTTATGCACTCCACAGGTGTCGTGCAGTCTCAGATTAGAAGTCATCCATGGCTGCCACAGGGATTAAAGATGATAATTAGGTTTTGTCAACTTTTAATGAAAAATTTCTTATACCAAAGCCCAAGAACAATACAATATTTTAATATATACAAATATGATAAGTATTTTTCGTATATTAGTGCAGGAAAGTTCTTTTAAGAGATTTTTACGTTACAAAAATTTAAGTCATTTAAAATTTAAATACTTAATTCCCGCTTTTTAAATTAAATAGTCCTTCATAGTATTATTTAACTTCATTAACACGTATCGCAAGTAAAATATTTAAAGCTGTGCCAACAAAATAATCATTAAATTTTAGATTTATTTAATAGACTTGTAGTTTTATCAAATATTAAATTTAATGTGATACTAAGTACCTTCTGTATTTGTATAAATCTATTTAAATTGAAACCAACAAAACTATGTCTTTAGCAAAATCAATACCAAAAGCAATAAATTTTCCTTAAACTTTTAACATGGTCGGCTATCAAATGTGTTTTCTAAATTTGAAATATTCAATGACCAGTGCGCCCGAATTAAATGAAATAAAAGTGAAACATGGCAGGGAGAAACATGGCACTGTGTCATTTGAAAAGTCCAAATTTATTTACTGCTCCAGCGAGCGGGAACATCACGGATTTGGATGCTGCGTGGTAGGAAATGTAAGTCCAGGTCCGGCGGAATCCGGGAATACGGGAACACGGTAAACCCGGAGTGCGGGATAAAGCCCGGCTGCGGCTGACCGGCGGGCAACAAACTTTACTCATTAGCGTGGCATTTTTCCTAGGCGCACTAATTAAAGCGAAGCCACGACTAGCACTGGTTCTAGTTCCAGGTGCGCGATTTGAATGGAGGGTTTTATGCTTGTATGGAGGACATACCATGGGAATGCCCCTTTTTGAGTGTTGAGTTCTTTTTGTTTTGGTAGTTTCAGCTATCCAAACTTACGGTTAAATAGCGATAGCCGAGCACCGAGACCGTGCCGGCGATAATGCCAATTAAGACGGCACCATGGGCGCCCAGCAGCAAGTTGCACACCGTGCCCACGGCCACTCCGCCGGCGAGGGTCGAGTTCTGCACGTGCACCATGTCCAATTTATTCTCGTGGCTGACAAGCGCGGATACAACGAAGGTGGTCACTGCAAAATATCGGCGAAGAGGGGTTAGCACGATGGCCCAGAAAGGAACGCGGCTTAAAAACGAGAAAAACACGAGGGGAGGCTGCGGCTCACATTTATGGTTGGAGGGCAGTTTGAATGCAGCCAGCGGATTTCGAATGCGCCCTGGATGCCCTGCCTTAATTACATGATTTTAATGCATTTTTGAATGAGTCTCTAGTTAGTTCATTAGAGTGCGGGAAAGTGGTGGGAGTGGCAGCTAAAAATGTGGGATGATTGGAGAGTTCTTTGAGGGCTGCACGGAATGAGTTACCAGCTTAAAATTTAAATCCAATGGTCGGATTTAAGAAGGCATAAATGCTGGGAATATACAATTTAAAGTGCATTTAAGTTATGCAGGTAACAAAAGTAATTGTCGTTCGAAAATTTAATCAATAAAACAGATTTTCAGTAATAAAACAAATATATAACAATTTGAATTCTTTTCCATTTAGTTAATTAAAATTATAATCGTATTAATAATTAATTGTCACTCAAAATCAGTGAATATATAAGCTATTTAAAACACACAGTCAAAGGCAAATTACATATTTCACAGAAAAATCACGTATACGAAGTGTTGACCAGCAAAGTGTCCGTTTCCATTGCTATTTACTTACATCCAGATCCTCTAGAAAGCAAACTATGTTGCAGAATTAAGTACTTTGCATTTAAAACCCTTTATTTTTAAGTTTACCAAGCAACCATGAAGCAGCTATCGCTAATCACTCGACCAGAAGGAATGACACACCCAACCGGCAACAACAGCAACTGAACTTAACTAAACCGCACTATCGCAATAAACACAAAACTAATAAAAATGTAAACACGACAGTGGCCAGATCCCTTCGGATTTTCCGGCTTTTCCGACTGCCCCTCCAGAGCTTTGTCGCCTCTCCGCTTTTCCGCTGCTGGTCACAGCGCAACGACAACAACAGCTAAACAAGGACTCGTTCAGTTTATGACCGGCAGCCAGCATAAATCTCGGCTGAATAACACTAAATACTTAAAAATCTCCATTTTATGGCGGAGCATATGTTGCAGCCATAATAATTTGCATAAATTAGTTGGGGCCAGGCGTCGGTTGGCCACTGCAAATAAGTAAGGCAAATCTCAACCGAAGCGTTGGTTAAATACAGGGACAGTTTTCAGGGGTCGGGGGCAACCGCAACAATTTCAAAACAGCTTTTGACGTTGTCCGGGCGACGCAAAACAACGAGAACAGCAAATTCTGGCTTAAAAATCAATTAAACAGCTTTTTTACAGCCGTCGCCGGCCCTCGTCCTGCTCGAGGACTAAAGCAAAGCCAAGCCAACGGCATCCTAACATCCGAGCATCCGAGATTCAGGACATCAGCTGCCGGTGCTGTTGTTTTTGCTTTTGCCTCCGCTTTCTCCTGCTCGAACATTAAACAATTTAAATTAACGCCAATGGTGTCACTTGCGACTGTAAAATGTGTTTTGTGCTTAGCGTTGTCGGCCAATGCGGGCAGTCTCCTTCCTCCGCCACCTTCTCCGCCCCCAAAAAGCCCACCCAACTGACCAAACTGGGGTCCCAACGAGGCCCAAACCCTAAGAACACAGGAGAAAATAAATTAATTCTGCTTTTGATTTACGGATATGATATCAACATGGTTGAAAATATAAAATTTCCACTACTTTTTAACTTGACAATCAAATAATATTTGCAAAAAAACGAATATTAAATTAAACTTGATTTGTAAGCCATAAGTTATTTAATTTATTTTGTAAATATATGTACTATTAAGTTTTCAATAAATGTATTTTTTCAGTGCTTTTCCATGAGAAGGTTCAGACGACGCTCCGGCTCATTTTGTGCCTGGTGTGAAAACAACAACTGGGGCGTATTTTTGCTGTTGGCGCCGCATTTGGACACCAAATGGCGTCGTCTGATCCGGTCCCCTCCTGCTGATGTCCCAAAACCAATCCTGCTGGCCAGGCCATGCATGTCCGCCCGCATGGACAACATGGGCCGTGAGTCACACCCACCAGACCGCCTCTAATTTCAGCATTGAACTGAACCCCGGCTTTAGTTTAATTAAGGCAACAACTAGCGAGCCAAGCAGTCGGCCACTGAATGGACAAGGACACGATGGGAGGATTGGGAGTGGAAGTGGTAGTGGTAGTGGGCTGTAGGCCACTGCAACGGACGGAGCCGCACGTTGACTCAACTAATCGCACATCCTTCCGCATAAAATGCCCACCCAGGCTCCCAGTCTCCCACTTTCCAAAAGGATACTCTAGAATGTCTATTTATGGCATGGGTCATCTCATTCTGCCGCTCAGATTGGAATTCGTTGATTAAGTTTCATCTGGTCGGTTATGAATTGCAACTAAATTTGGATATGCACTTTATTGGGACATGAATTTTTAACTCAAATTAAGATGTACTCTCGGAAAAGTACTTCCACAAAGATCAAAGATATTTTACGCAATACCGCAAAGTAAAATGCTATCAAGTGGTACTCTGCAAAATACTCAATATGATTTATTTCGATTTTATGTGCTTGCTTTCCATTCGGGCAACTAAAATGATGAATCTTAGAGTGAAGAGTTTTTTGGCCTACCTACAAAGCAAATCAAGCTATTGTTAAGAAAAAAAGGTTTATTAATATTCATGACTCGACTTTGGTTGATTCATAGCTATATCTAATTTGATGCACACTTTTATTGTAAAGCAATAATTTATGGTTTAATGAGAAGCATTTGTGTTTATTAAAAATTAGCTTGCATTTGGATATTGAAATTTTAAAATATATAAATCTTCAAAGAGCTTTCAGCTTAAATAAACTAAAAACTTTGATTTATTGCCTAAAAATTATTTGTACGTTTTTATTTATACTTTTTTATTTCTGTTTTAATAAATTTGATAGGGTATTTCTTTCTTCGGTTACACTTCCGGCACTTTCGCCCAGCCCCTGCTTACTCATGTTGTTAGGTGTTACCTCCGCCGCCGTAACGTGAGGGCTTTAATGCCATGGCTGGGATAGCCGGAGCAGAAACCAGGCGAGACTGAGGCCACAGTTAGCCAAGTGTCGCCCATTCCAACTTGGCTTATCTCAGCTGCTGGCCCTACTATTATTGCGGCTATTGCTGTTGTTGTTGCTGTTGTTGCTGTTGCTGGCGGGCGTCCTTTGTATACATTTAATTTGTGTTTTGTTATTTACATTAACCGAGCGAGTCAACCAAGGCAAAGCCCGACCCCGGGCTGCTGCTTTTGCCGCTTTTAGCACATTTTCTATATGTGCCTGGACCGGACAGAGTGGACCAGAGACTACTGAATAAGGACTAAGGACTAAGCAAATGCCGGACAGGCTGGCCGGTCTGCCATTTGGTTCGTTTTTATGTGCGCTACGTGCTCAAAATAAATTTTCAAATGTGTTAACGAAACTATTTGACATTTAATTAGTTTGTGAGTCGCATGCACAAGGACTCTGAAAGGGCTTTTTAGGTGTGAGAGGGGAGAGCGGCGGGGAGTTGCCTGCCAGCCTTTTCAATTTCATCGGGAGCCGTGCTAATAGGCCCGCCAACATTATAATTAACAAGGCCTGAGGATCCCGAAGAGAATGACCCGGCCAAACGTGAAGATATGTGCGAGTGGGCGAAGATGGCCTGGAGGATATGTCAGGAGATGGACGATGGACGCTGGAATGTCCTCCAACTGCCCTCCACTTGCCGGCTAATTGCCGGGGCACGTGACTCACCTGTTGCCGCGGCTAATGACAGGAACGTGTTCAAAATGGCCCGCTCGCCGCCGGCTCCTTCGGCCAGCACCGAGTTGAAGCTGGGCCAGTACACCCACAGGAAGGTGGTGCCGATCATGGCGAAGATGTCCGAGGTGTAGCTGGCGCCCTCCAGCTTTCCCGCCTCGTTCTGGTCGCTGGCGGGCCTCAGCATCAGAGCCACCGCCAGTCCAAAGTAGGCACCAAATGCGTGGACAGTGATGGAGCCGCCACAGTCGCAGATCTGCCAAAAAGAAACATGAAATATTTACATAAAATTATCTAAATTTTGATCATAGCAAATGTATAGATTCATTTCATTTAATTTTATAAAAAATACAAAACAACGCAAACAAGAGAGCTGAAAATTATTGATTGAAAATGCCTCTCTTAACGGAAAACTATGCTTAACAAAATCATGTTTAAGTTTTAAAATAATTTTTAAAACAAAACATGAAACAAATCGAAAACATTCAATATTAGTTTGGCACCAATTCCCATTATTTTTTCATTGAATACTCTAAGGTAATTTCTCTTGTCTGCATGGTAAGCTAATACTTTATACAATTTAAATAAATTTTCTTAACTTAAAACCTACTTTTCAGTTGATCATTACGGCGAAAAAAGGTAACAAGTAAAACATAAGCCTTGCAAAATAGCAAATTGCGTTCATGAATAAATTAAAGCTGCTGGAAAATTAGCTTTATAATATTCAAAAATGCAAATAATTGAAATATACCAAATTAAAGGTAATTCCGGCTTAAAATAATGCCAATCAAGTCATACACAAAATATTATGTTATCAAGCTTATTTTAAAATTTATTAAATCGCTCAGATTAGCTTATGGAAATTATCTGTTTATTTTTGTTACATCCTGCGATGATAAATTTATATCCAAAATGTTAAAGGCTGTTTAATTCGCTTTGCATATGGCATGACCCATTTGTGACAACCTGTTTGAGCGTATGTCCTTAATTTAGAATAAGGTAAATATTATACATAAATTCTTGTGAATATGCATATAATATTTAACTTAAATAAATATTTAACAAATTAGTAAAGTAAATGACTTTTACTACTCACACTGAAAACATGCAGAGCCAGGTACTCGTTGGCCGCGAAAAGAGCCACCTCAACGATGGACATGCACAGCAGTTGGATGGGCGTGGTCCTGCCCAAGAGGGCACCCATGCTAATCAGGGGCACGGCGGCAGCAATATCAGCATCAATGATGTTCTCCAGGGAGAGGCTGTGGGCGCAAAAAGGAAAGGAAGCGATGAACAGGAAGTGCGACAGGTGACACGCCCTCGGACGCATAAAAAATGGCGACATCTTAACCGAGAAATGGCCGCCAAACGAAATGGAATACATTTCAAAGCATTTGCAGGCAGTTTATATTTCTACACAGCACGACAAAAAGGAAATTGGATTGAAAAAAAAAGTTTTTTAAAAATGTTTTCAATGTGAATATGAAAATCATTGTAATGCAAATCCATTATCATATTCTTTACGCTACGAATGCAATTTATGTTGGGGAGCCACAAAAATTTTAAGGGTTTTGAAATCACTAATAAATCTGTGTAAAATTATGCAGTAAAATATAAAACATGGTTATTCGAAATGAATTCATCAGTCAAAATATATTGTTATATATATATTCATATACCTTTCAAAATCTTAAAAATTTCTTTGTAATACTTATATAAATTTTTTCAGTACATTTCACTGTCAGCACCATTGGCTTTTTTTTACAGCCGCTCGTCCCTTTGTTTGCCGTTTGACTTGGGATTGTTGCCCATTTCACTTAGCATAAGTAGAGGACTTCCCCCGAAAGTCTCCACCTTCTCAGGTTGACTTCTTCATTTAAAGTAATTGCTTGAATTCATTTCCAGCTTCGGGGTATTTTTCTTCATTTCACATCGCAAACTTGTTTGCCCTGACGGCTGTCAGTTTGGCTCTGGACTCAAAGCCATGCAATTAATAAATTGAAGTCGTGCAAAAGGAGCTCACCTGATCTTGCCGTCCTCCATGTGCAGGAATCCCTTCATCAGCACGGCCCACTGTACCACAAGGGCGGCCATGAACAGGGTGAATCCAGTGGCACTGTATCCGTATTTCCTCAAGAAGGTCATCAGAAAGCCGAAGCCAATGAAGATCATCACCTGGATGTCCTGGAACTCTGCGAGGATATAAGAATTAATATGGGCAAAGAAGTCGAGGAGTTGGCCAAGTGGGATGCCAATTATTAGAGTCAAGTCGTTTCAATTAACCGCCCAATTGTCTGCTGCCAAAAGTCAATTGCATTGAGATTGATGTCACCAGGGCACCAAGACGTCCATGTTGCCACCCAATTAGCCAATCCCCAATCCCCAATGCCCAATGCCCACTGCCCCCACTTTTATACCCCCTCACAAACATCCCCTGTGTGCGTATGTGTGCCCGCGCGGGTGCAATTAGTGTGAAATACGGTTTAATTTATTTATTATGAATTGCAACAAGTTGTTTACAGACGCATTTGCATAAATTGAAATTAATGACTTTAATTATTCATTTGTGAGCGTGTGTGTCCCATTGTTCGGCTTCAGTTCAGTTCAGCTGAGTTCGGCTTGGTTCGGATCGGCACAATATACCCCCCGTGCAATATACATGTATTCTAGTGGCAGAAGTAATTAATGGAATTGGTGCCATGGGACCCAAAAGACTGCGGAGACTGTGCGAAAAAGAACTTCATTTATTTATGACCCGCCAACACTTGGCAAACAATGCGGGTCCTGCTCCTCGTCCTGAATCCTTCGCATTCCCCCCGCCCCCAAAAATGGAACAGGACTAGAGTTTATATCTATATTTTGGGCAGCATGGGTAATAGCTTTATGTGGGCTTTGATTTAGAGCTTCGACTTGGTGTCCTTTTAATTGTTTTCCACCATTATGCATAGAGTTTCCTACTATTTTAATTACTCGGTTATCAACGAAATATATACATTTCAATTGGTTAATATTGCCTTCAATTTAAGTATACGCTTCTTAATTGATTTAGACATTTCTTGGTTATTTGTTTGGGTTCTCTGATCTTATCTATTCACTATTAATTCATAAACATTGAGACGGCCTAAGATCAAAAGTTTTTTCAATGACATAATAAATTTTTAATTTATTATTGCCACAATTAATTCTTTTTCTGTGAGTCACTGCCAAAAACAAAAATAAAATATGGCTTATAAGGCTTACGAAAAGGTTTAGCTATTGCCAAGTCTCGGCATATTTGCTACCTTTTATACGCCCTATGTGGCTAATTAGACAAAACAAAAAAAGCTAAAAACTAGTCAACGAACAAAAAGGGCACCAAAAATAAGAACTATCGCCTATTTGCGGTTAATTTTAAAGAGCAAGTCTAAAAATAAGACTCTTGATATTTATTTATTTATATAAAGTTGCTGTTTACTTTCAGTATTCAAAATTGCACATTTGCCAAGGGGTTAAATTGCAGTGCCAATTTTTGCACAACAACTTCAAAACAAACAAAAGCTACAATAATATGGAAATAATGTAAGTAAAATACAAATACTACAAATGATATTTTTGCACGTTTGCTATTATTTTAGAGGGGTGAATCTAAATATATAACAAGTTTCCGCACACAGCAGTTGCACTTTTGGGGGTGCTACGCAAATTAATTCTCCAACAAATACAAAAACTGTTTTTATTTGATTTGTCAGAGTGAAATGTTTGTGCTGTTGCCATGCATATTTAGTTTTACTGGCTTTTATTAGACAAAGCGGGCTAATTAACCAAACAGAAAAATATTGCAAAAATACAAAGAGTTAAATGATATCTCGGCCAAAGTTGTAAATAAATAATAATTTGATTAGTCAGAAATTGTGAGCTGTTGCCGAGAATATTTAAATTTAGTAGTATATTACTCAAAGCTGGCTAATTAAAAGAATAATACTTGAAATGCATGGCCTATAAAAAAACAGTTTGGTAAACAAAAATTTTTCGCGAATTTTAATCTGAAGGTTTTAAAAAGTTGGGCGATTTATATGTATATCGATATGCTAATATCATAATAATGAAATAAGTTCTCTCGATGTTAATAGAAACCATAAGGAAATTTTTGACACCTAAGGGGCACGTCAAATGATTTAAACAAGATAAAGACTAAAAACACGTGAACAACCATAAAAATGTACACACAAAAAAACAAAACTGTCATAGAAACTGAACTGTTTTTACATCAATTTTAAACTATTGGGTATGAACAATTTCTGAATAGGATGATTATAAAAATTAAATTTATGTGCCTTAAAAATAGGGCAGTAAACTTTTATTTTTTTTTTTTTTTTGTGTAGGTTTAGGTTAACCTTAAAATGTATTTTACCAAATTTAATTTATATACAAATTTCAAAAAAAACATACAAAGTCTTAAGAAATGGAGATGCCCCGCACGAAATTGACAGTTTTCTTAAAGGCATTTTTAGAGGATGGGGGCGAAATCCCTGCTACTCACGCGGATATTTGGAAACGTGTTCGTTTGCTGATCCAGCGTCTTCGGCGTCGATTGCCCGTGGCAGCGCGGTCTTTTCGTAACGCACGAACAGCCAGAACAGAACCAGGAAGATTATTTGCACAATCATCAGGACGACGAAGCCCGACACTTTGGCTGTTGGCGAATGCATGACGGCAGCCGGGGCAAGAAGTGCGAAAAAACTAGACGAAACGGCTCCTGATTGGAGTTCGAGCACACAAAAAGCGGAGACGTAGTCGAAGTCGGAGTTTTTGCTTTTAGATCCTGGCCGCAGACGATGCAGCACGTGTACGGGGACAGGAAGTCGTGTTTCACTCCCCCTCCTTTGGGATTTGCAAATACTTGTGTGCTTTTTGGACCTATCTCACAGACATCGGTATGCACACTCTCTATATGCTTATATATATATATCCGTTCACATTCACGATCTGCTGTGGCTGAGCACTGGGCGCGTACTGATGCCCGGAGCGATGAGCGTGGCGTGTAAGTAGCTGCGACTCGAGTCTGCGGTCAACGGGGCGTATGTGCGATATCCACAGCGATTTACTCGCATGATATAACTATTTGATTTAATTTGCAGTCGCTTCTGCTGATGCCTCTGCTCTGCTCTGCTCTGCTATGCTCTGCTCTTGCTGAATTATTCACAGAGTCTCCCCCGGAGACCGAGTCGTTGTGGTTCCATTATATTTAAATTGTTTTTGTTTTTGTTTTAGTTGCATTGCAATTTCAATTCCAATTCCGATTCCAAATCCAAAACCAAATCGTTTTACAAGGCGGCAGCCCAGACCTCTTTTGCGGTCTCGCCACCCAAAAGTCTGGCTTCGGTTTGGTTTCATTTGTTTGTTTCGTTGGTCAATTGATTGGTAATTCGTTATAAATTTATCCTCAGACTGCATTTTATAGTTGCAGCCGGACGATTTGCATAAACGCCATTGAATGGCTTGTAAGGTGAAAGTGGCTTAAACTTTAACGAGTTCTCCCATTCAGAGAGTTGCCATTGACTCTGGGCCAATCGGTTAAGCCACTTATGGGGGTTCTCCTGTGTTGACTGATAAGCCGCAATCTCGGTGCTGGTCAAGTGGCAATTGTCGTGAGTGTGGGCGATATGTAAACACAAGCGGCTTGGGTGGGGCATTGTCTATATACCAATTAATCACACATGTCCAGTAGTTGCCTCAATATAATTAACATGCTGACAGCCGAAATGAACGGTCGTAAAGTAAATAGCGGCTCAAATGGAGCAGCTGACTCGATCGCGGATCGCCGCTTATTGATGAGCCCCTTCGTTCGGCGGTTTGTTCAAGCAATTTCAACTGATTAACAGTCTTTTTTAGTGGTTCAGTGCGAACTTAATGGGGATATAAAAGCGCGACGAGTCGCACACAAGTGCCAAAAGCATTTAGTTTCGAATGTTTGAAAAAACTCACTGTTTGGAGTGGAAACTTAATGCACAAATTAGTATTTAATATGATCTTGTACATACAAAGTAAATTTAGTCTTGGCTTATTATTATATTATATTATTTATTATTTTGTGTAAAATGTATACCTATTAATTTTATTATGAGGTTTACATATTCTATTTTGTATAACTATAGGTTGCAATTAAATAATCATGTAAAAAATAGATATATGAACAAAAATGTAGTCACATATAAAATGTTATTTAATAAACTTTTTTTTTTGTATTATATTATGCTATTTTAAATGAACCATTTACTTATTATTATTAATATCTGCGTTTAATAATACATGCAGAGCTTAAAATTAAGCACAAACGATTATAGCAGATTTCCGAGTTGAAGTAAGTGCCCAACTCATCTGCTGATATATGGCCCGCGTTGAAGTTGAAATTCTGGAGAGCATTCAACTAATTGTTAAAGCAAATATCCATATCAAATTAAACAGAACTCATAAAAGCGGCTGGTGGGGGGGCCAAAACTCACAGAGGCCACTGGGGCGTATGATTGATATTTATTTTTTCAACAAACACAAGCGCACCTGTGTGAAAATTGAAATTCTCATGGTGCTGGCAACAATAAAAAGGTAAGGCAAAGCTGGCCCCGCACATAAGAAAATGTGTGAAGTTTGCGCAAAAACCGCAAATGTTGCCAGGCACGCGCTGAGATCTTGAAAATCCACACACCCACACACACACGCTCAGCCCGACAGAATAAGAAAGCAGAGAAAGCAAAGAAAGCAGAGAGGCGAAAGAAAGGAAAAGCATCCCATCTGAGCGATTTCGTGCTGCCTACTTGGCAGGGAAATTTGCATCCGCAATCACTTTAAATGTTTCCGTTTGAATACGCAAATAAATCGAAAAGGATTTCCAATGAATGCTTATGAGTGTCCTGGCAAACCCTTGTTAATGTTGTTGTTTACAACAAGTGTACATGTCTAAATCCCTGAAAAGCGTAGCTACACAGCGCCAGAAAAACATTGATGGCCCCGCAAACTGACAGCCCTGCGTCCAAACTCCGACCACAAGTGCTTCTTGTGCTCCTAGTACCGCTTCTCATCCCAGTTGCGGCCAATCTGGGTCATGTGGAAGTGTGTATTTGGCCCGAGTGGCAGCTGAGCCATAAATAAATATGAGCCACTGTTGTCAGTCGACAACGACAACAACAACAACAACGTTGACGATATGTTGATAAACTTTAACACCCCACAAACACTGGCACAAACCCGGCCAAGTGGCCAAGTGGCCAGAGTGGTGCAATCGGAATCGCCGGCATTCCAGCTCGTCGAAGGACCTCCGGCCAAAGCTCCTGCTCCAGCTGACCCATAACCATTGCAGGAGTGCAATGGCTCTCCGGCCATATGCACTCCCATTCGGGGCGAAAGTCCTTTCGGGAACATGGCCAGCATGCTGCACTATTTTGTGTGGCTCTCCTGCCCAAGTTTCTGGAGAGGTTTCCTCGCTGGCTTACCAGCACTTGTCAAAACTACACAAAACATATCTAGAAAACGAAGTTCTGCAAAAACAATGTTTCATTTATTTTCTGTATTTTATTTTATTTTATTTTTAAGACTAAACTAGCTAGTCCTATCAAAGCAGAGTTCACTATGTAGTTAGAGTAAGTGTGAACGTTGTGTGCTATAGATGTTTTATAACCATTTATGACCTCTTTATCTTAAAACAATTTAATAATTTCAGTAAGCCAAATATATAAGCTTTCAAATATATTATGATTTAAATACTTCGCTTTAATTACACAATGCTCATCACAACTAATTTTGTAAGATTATTTTAATAGAATTTCGCTAAAAATATACACCGTTTTCTTAACTATTATTGGAGTTGTACATTTGGAAAATATTTTTCCTAATATTATTTTAGTTTTTTTTTTAATGAACGCGCAAAAAACCCAGTTTAAATATGATTCTCAGCATATTTTTTCTCACTGGTAAAGCACGTCATATATATATATTTATATTTTTAATATAAGCTCTAATAATGATTTTGATAAAACTGCTTAGATTTTGAGAACCAAAAAATATGTTTCATAAATTTTCTAGTGGCTGGAGTTTACAAAGCTATTTCTTTAAGTGCAGCGTTCCAGTGTCGCTCCAGTTGCACAATTTTTGGCTGCTGCTGCACTCGTGTCTGAAAGTGGGGATCTGGTTGGGGATGTTGCCGGGTTTTGGGGCTGCTGACTCCTCGGTTGCGGGTGGTTGCGCCTAAGCGATTCGCTTTTTGTCTGTTTTGTGTCAATTTTGGAATCCGCTTTGGCAACCGCCGCCCCCTCAATCCCCACCCCTGGTGCGATGCTTCGGAAAAGCTTTCGGTTGCGCCAATTGTTGGCATTTACAGCTACTTGGCTGACGGGCCCTTGACTTGGCCGGGATTCCCCGGGATCTGCTCTGTGTAGCAGCTTAGAGAGCCGGCTCAAGTGGCGCACTGGGGATTTTTCAATTGCGTTTATAACAAATTTCGATTTGTCAGCGGCAAAGCGAGGGAGCGACTTCAAGTGGCCGCCGCATCCCAAGTGGCACCGAAATCAGTCAGCGATATAGCCCCAGATGCAAACACAAAGCGGGGACAGCTAAATTCCCGAATCTGGAGAAAAATATTTCGCTTGAAGGCGGGATAATCAAATGCACTATATGCACTCCAAACTGAGAGAGCAGCTTCGAATACAGGTGAACAAAACCTTTTTTTTTAAAGAAATGAACAAAGTAATAAACATAAATATAATAAAAAAATGACTTCGCTGATTGTTTTAAAGTCGCATGTTTTAAAAAAAATGATAAATAAATAAGGTGGCTCATTCTTAAGATATAGCTTGAAAAATATAGCTTTTTATAAAACCCCAAAATTATGCCATCAAAATTGGTGTATTATCTTTTGATCGTTATTTTTCATACCTAGAGTAGGCCACGCCAAACGCAAACTTTAAAAATCCATTTATTGATCAATTAACTGGCCAAATTATTTCTTAAATTGTTCAATATTTTTCTTTCAACTGTTACAATTTTCTTAAAATTGAGTTTTCTTATACCTACGAGTTTTAAATGGCAAAGAATTAGATCCCAAGTTCTTTTTATTTATGGAAAAACGAGATATTAGCCGACTTATGTTAAAATTTTATTTTTTGAAAATATCAATCTTATATCATTTTATTAGCCATGTCCTTTTCCCAGCTAATCAGAGACAGAAATTACATATGAACTCTTGGTACATTGAGCGGCCTTAAAAAATTACAAACACCTAAGCCGGCTGTATTTGCGTTTGAGTGCGGGCACATTGCTGCAGTGGCCTTATATGAGTGCTGAGAGGACACGGATTAGGTTACTCGGAGGTGGATCTTATTTATATGGAACTTACCTATCCATGAACATATTTATGGTGCTACGCTTGAGGATTAGCACACTAAAAATGATTATACCACTGCAAAGATTAAAGTGTTTAGCTACTCCACAGATCCCTGGCCAGAAGACACTCGCTAAAACAAAAAAAAACTCCACGAGCCAATTTACGCCCATAATAAAAGAGATCCGGAGAAACTGTATATAACTATGGTATTAGGATTAGTATCATGCTTAGTTACAAAAGTTATACGAAAATAGAGCTTACGTTTCACTATCGAAATTGAGGCAGGTCGTCGTCGTCTCCTGCTCTTCTGTAAGCCGTCGTATATTTCTCTTTACATTCCAAATGTAAATTGCGGTTCGGAGAAACATGATCACACTGAATATTTTTAGCCCCAAAAGCGCCACAACTACCATAGCCCCGAAGACTTTGAATAAAGAGAAAAAAGTGGCTTAGATACAGTACCGACGGGCAGATACAATCGAACCACCATTACTAGAATTTATTCAGCAACACTTTTTTCATAGCTCAAACAAAATAAAAATCCTGTTTTGGATTTACTATTATAATAATAAATAACTAATTATTATCAATAATATATAATAAAAAACAAAACAAAAGGAAGCAAATTTTCGGCCGGCTAAAGTTTATAAATTCTTGAAAACATTTAAATTTTGATTTATTTGCGTATGTGTTTAAATACATTGAAGCTAGGATGACTTTCAGCTTAATTATTCGATCGTCCCTATTGCAGAAATATGATATCGTTTTCCAATCTAAAAAAATTTAAAAGCGTAATTCTGAACTATCAATTTAATACATTTGGCAACCTTAAGCCTGTTAAAAAAATTAAAACTTTGTTATCACTGGTAGCTCAAGTTGTGGAAGTTCGACCGCTGCTTATTAAAACTCCTTATGTTTAACAAACCAGCAACCAGGTCAAAGACATATATGTACACCAAATGAGCGACTGCAGTCAAGATACCAGCCGTGACCCAGACAAAGGCGCTGTATTTCAGGAACCGATATCGAGGTTCAACTCTTCTTAGCGACACTAAAATTTTCCACAGGTGATAGCTGATTACTGAGAGCCAGAGATGGATGGCGATCCCAAAGAAAACATCACCGCCTGCTGTAGGTAAATATTTCATTAATCAAGTCCAGAAAAAATGGCAAAGCGCCTCGCATTTAATCAAATTACTAGTAGCACCATTTTCCCATATTTTCAAATCTCTCACAATCGAAGAATAACACAGCACTCCAAGGCAGAATAGGCTGCTAATAAGGCACTTTCCGAGTTCATTGCGAAGTTTCTTTTCTACGAGATACACTGCTATCGTAAGGATTATGCATATCAACGATACAACCCTGACTAAAAAAACAAAAACATAGAAGGAAAATTTATTAGGCAGCTTTAAATTTGTTGGTCTTTTGAGGAAGGAAATCTCCAAATAGAACTTGTGTAATACTATGTATATATTCACAGTTGACTGATTAGCGTACCGTTTAATGTATAATTCCAGGACATTTTAAACCTTTCAACACACAATGCCGAACTACAATGAGTTGAGTTTTAGTTTGCTGATTGTTTAAAAGGCCCATGTTTTATAATCAACAGCGAAGCGATAAAGTACAATCGCGGTCATTGGCACTCAAAATATGGTTTTATTATACCCTTGCAGAGGGTATTATAATTTCAGACAGAAGTTTGCAACGCAGTGAAGGAGACATCTCCGACCCTATAAAGTATATATATTCTTGATCCGGATCAATAGTAGAGTCGATCTAGCCATGTCCGTCTGTCCGTCATTTTCTATGCAAACTTGTTTCTCAGTTTAAAAGCTATCTGCATGAAACTTTCCCAAAAGTTGTCTTTCAATTGCAGGTAGTATATAAGTCGGAACGAGCCGGATAGGACGACTATAGCATATAGCTCCCATAGGAACAATCGAAAAAAAAAATAAAAAATATTATAATTTTGCTGTTTTTTTATTTTTTTTTCTTCGACATATAGTTATGGTTAACTATTTCAGAATTACGGTATAAATTTCATCAAAATCGGACGGCTATATCATATAGTTCCCATAGAAATAATATAAATATATAAAATAACTATCTAATAATTGAGCTGCAAATCATCATAGTCTCAATGTTTTTAAACATATACGCAAGTAAATCTTAATTTTCATGTTTTCAAAAATATTTAAATCTTGCAATAGCTGCACGGGTATATGAACTTCGGCTTGCCGAAGTTTGCTTCCTTTCTTGTTGTAATTACATTTTAAATGGTTTCTCAGCATTGAAATCCTTATCTTGATAAACTCCTTGGGACCCATTAATTTAAAAAAAAGATTATTCTGATAGACATTAACATTTTCCTTTCATTTCACTTCAGGGCTTTCGCCCCGTTAACAGCTCTTTCGCCTCCTTAAAAAGTTGCACTTTTTTTAAAATATCCAAATAATTTAAGCATTCCTAGTAAGCCCTAAAATATTGGTTCGACTTGGAGAAATGTTTTGTTTGCCTTACAGCACCCAATAACTGGTCTCTATCATTTATCGGAGTGATGAAGGCTTAGAATCTAACTTCTAAACTTCTAATCTCTGTTTTTTTAGTTTTCGTTTTTCTGTCAAATTATTAACAAGTCAAAAGAATTTAAAAAAAATTACAAAATAGAAAAGATACAGTATTTTTTTAGTATTATTTTTATTGTTTCCATGGAAGCTTTATTTTATAGTCGTTCGATTTTGATTAAATTAAAACCGTAATTCTGAAATATTTAACCATTACTATATGTCGAAGAACTAAAAAAAAATTAGAAATTATGGGAGCTATACGCTATAGTCGTCCGATCCGGCTCGTTCCGACTTTTATACTACCTGCAATAGAAAGCCAACTTTTGGCAAAGTTTCATGCAGATAGCTTTAAAACTGAGGGACTAGTTTGCGTAGAAACAGACGGACAGACGGACGGTCGGACAGACGGACGGGCAAACGGACGTATAGACGGGCAATTGGACATGGCTAGATCGACTCGTCTAGTGATGCTGATCAAGAATATATACACTTTATAGGGTTGGAAATGTCTCCTTCACTGCGTTGCAACCTTCTGACTGAAATTATAATACCCTCTGCAAGGGAAAAATATTTATAGTTTCCAAAATAGATTTCTTTTATTTTAGCTTTTCAACTATGTAGAGGAAACAAATTCGCATTTATGATCAGTGTTTTAAACTTAAATTATTTAAGCCGATGCTTTCCCGGACACACTGCTCCTTTGGCGTTTTTCGAATGCTGAAAAGACAGGAATTAGGTAACTCGGAAGTGTATGAGAATCATACCGGTCTTACCTGTCCATAAGCATTTTCACGATGCTACGCTTAGGAATAAGCACTACAAAAATGATTATGCCAAAGTATAAATGGAAGTTGTCCAATAAGTCGTTAATGTACTTTAAACAGAAAAAGGACAAAAACAAACAAGTGACATCCAGGACCCAAAATATGCCCGTAATGAAAAAAATCCACATAAACTGTATATTACTATGTTTAGAATATGAAAAAAAGTATTATGCTAAGTTACCATAAATTTCAAAGGAAATGGGGCTTACGTCTCACTATCAAAATTCAGGTAGTTCGTCATCATCTTCTCCTCGACTGTGAGCGTATTCATTTTCCTCATGACTTTCCATATGTAAATTGAGGTCCGAAAAAAAGTTATCACACTACATGCTGCTATTATCCATATCGTCAGCCTCATTATAATATTGAAGACTTGAAATAAAAGTAAAACGTGTTTTAAAAACAGTGTCGACTTGAAAATGCAATCGAACTTTCATAACCTGAGAATATATATGGCAGAAACTTATTGATGATTATATGCATAATAATATACATATATGTAATTTCAACTGACCATTTTAAACTTTCCACTTATATTTGGAACGAAGTCTGGGTTTTTGATCCGTAATTGCTGAAAAAAAAACAAAAACATAAAACAGATTACACCTAACTAGATCTTTTGCTGGCATATAGTAGTTCCAGCTATGAAAGTTCGATTTCGCTCATCAAAAGCACATAAGTCATTCAAACTACCGGGCAGGCCATAGTCACTTATTTGCTGGAAATATGTGACTAGAGTAAAGATAAATGCGGCGATCCAGACAAAGGCACTATATATGAGGAACTGATAACGAGGCTCATCGCGATTTGGCGAACTTAAAATGGTCCATAGATGAAAACTGATGACATAGTTCCAGATACTATAGGCAATACTCCAGAAATATACAACTAAATTTGAAAAATAATTTTAAGGATTTTTGCAAAGCGCATTGCATTTAATTAACTAACCCATAAATATAGTGTAATCTCCATTGAAATCGATCGCAACCTTAATAAAACAAATCACGCCGAGACAGATCAGGCTACTAATAAGGCACTTGCCTAGAACATTCCTAAGGTTCTTAACCATAAGATACACTAAGATCGTAAAAACAAGGCATAGCAACGATGTCACCTTGGCTGAAAAACAAAAACAGAGAAGAAAATGTACAAAGTTGGTCACTTGATGTAAGATATGTATTCAGAATCAGTAATTCTAATTGTCCAAAGTGTAGATGAAATGTGATTTCTCTTGAATAAAATAAGGTCTTTACCGATCAATTCGAAACTCCAGGTCATTTTGAACCTTACAACACCCAAAGTCAAACTGGACTGAACTAAGTTTGACTTCGCTGATTGTTTTAAAGTCACATTTCTCAAAATCTACAACGCACAAGCAAACGCACAATCTCAATCATTGGCGTTGGAAACAAGATTTTATTGGGGTGAATTAAGAAAGAATTCGAATTGGAACTCGATGAATTCCCTTGGTTCCCATTCATAAAAAAATACTCTATGCAATAAAGCAAATAATGGGGATCATGGGAATAAGACATTGTTTTTATTGCCCTTCAAAATTTTTTTATTAAGAAATTACGCACATATTTATCAAAATTACTTAATGTTTTAAAATGACTTTTGAAAACTTGCTCTGGCCCTTATTATAATTTGTGGTAACACAAAATCCAAGGTGGCTTATTCTTAAGATATAGCTTGAAAAAAATTGCTTTTTATAAAACCCAAAAATTATGCCGTCAAAATTTGTGTATAATCTTTTGATCGTTTTTTTTTCATACCTAGAGTAGGCCACGCCAAACGCAAACTTTAAAAACCAGTTTAGTTTTTTAGGAATAAATTATATTTGCGTGTGATGCAGACAATCAGTTGACAAACTGGATCGAAGATGGGCAGATATTGGGCCGCATAGCCGGTAGAATAAAATACTAAAAGCCAGCGAATCGATCGTTTCAGAAGCGATTAGCAATGTGAGCTAGATTGGCGCCAGTTTAATGATTTTAATGGCTTTATTCGAAAATGAAGGCAAACAAAGGGCACAGAACTTACATGTTCTGCGCGTGTTGATTAAATGACAATAAAACTAGTGTAAACTGAACTGAATTGGATAGGATAGCGCTATGAACCTCCGACTAAAATCCTGCTCTTCAAGCAATTTCGGTGGCATGCGAAGTGGGCGTGGGAGTCACATTGGCCGTCTCATGCGTCTGGGCAGGAGTGTAGGTGGGGGTCGTCTCATGATTTATGGCGGGAGTGTACGAGGCGGGCGACGGATCGGGTTCCTTGTCCAAAATCACCTTCTTTAGGATGAAGTAGAGGGCTCCGCCAATCAACAGTTCGCCCACGGCAATGCAGACGATCAGAGCCCAGCCGGGAATGGCAAGGCCACCTGCGAAAACCATGCATGCGGATAAGTAATGTTTTTTTTGTTTTTTGCAGTATTTATCACGTATACGCCACCACTTACTGAAGTATCTGCGGGTGAGGGTGCGACGACCGCGGTTCACGCGTCGCGTGGCCTCCGATTCCTGCAAGCAGCAGGCCAGCAGAACTGCGAAAAAGAATCAAAAATAAAAAATAAGTATATAAATTAGACAGGGGGCACTCGAGCATGTTGCGAGTGATTTGTCCGAGGCGCAAAAAAACACACATTTAACGTATACGCCGCGTGTGGTCGAAGGCATTGGCTTTGAAGCAGTCATCAAATCAAATCCCAGCCATGAAGCGAGCCAAAGCGCTCGGAACGGAACTCATTGAAACAACACCGAGACCATTCATCATATAGATCTTCAGCTGCCCGAAGACTTGTTAAGATATTAACAATTAATTATTGAGAAAATGCTGAACAGCAGAGCCAAGCCAAATTCAACAAAATAGATTCTGATAGAGCCAAAATCGCGCGCGCGCGCCAACATCGATGATAAATGTGAGCTGGTGAGCTGGCTCATTCTTCCCCATTGTTCCATTGCGGATGTCGGACTCGATTTCACGTAAAAATTATCAAAATGTATTTTTAATTAATATTATTTCCATGTGTTCGTTTATCTGTTTGTTTGTTTTGGTTCAGCTCATTCGGCATATTTTGCGCATGCAATATTAAATGGATTTAGTTTTTAGTTTCGATTTGCCCCCTCCCCCACGATTCGATTAGGCGGTGATTCATGGAGAGGGGGGCCAAATGGATGTGGCTAAGAGTGCGGCCGAGCTGCGTTGGCCAGCCGCTAACCGAAATTAATTGTTTTCATGCATTTTTTGTTTAACATATTTCATAATTTATATTCGAAATAATTACCGAGCTTATGCCGCTTCCGGTCTTAGGGCATTGTACTTTTGGCCTAATCAAAATTGCATGAAATGAAAATAATTTTGCATTTGCTAACAGCCTGCTAAAGCTGTTTAAATTCATTCAAAGTCTTTTAATTTTCCTCCAAGCTCACTGGCTCACCACGCCCTGAAATAAACCAAACACCACAAGTAATGGGGCAACAATGAGTAAACAGCGCTTATCTGAATCGCACTGATAAGCGCACATTTTTGTAGAGTTTTCCGTATGTGACGCACACTTGGCCCAGTTACTCATCGTTAGACTCTCCAATTCAATTGCTCCAGTTGGGTCATTAAAACCCCACCACACCTATGGATCCCATATTCGTATGCAATTGCACATTACAGTGCAGCTTAGTTTCACAGACACACACAATATCGCTGGTTGGCACTCAAAACTCAGCGGATTCAAACAAGCATGCAGAACTTTACCCAGGCATATCACCAAGTAGGTGGAGTACTTCTTAGCCAACTTCATTTCCGTCGTTTTCGTTGGTTCGTTCGAAAAACTTCTGTTCGCTTTCAGCCGTTAGCCAAGTTTGTAACGCGCACGTCGTCAACTCAAAAGTGGAACTAAAAACCTGTGCGTGATTGCATTCGGCGGCAGGTGCTCGTATCTTATCGCAAGGAACCTTATCTGCCAGAGATAAGATTTGAGGGCTCTCTTTTCCTCTCGATATGTAAAGACTGAGGTCAGCTACACTGGAATAAATATTAACTTAAACAAAAACTTCTTTGAATTTAATTTTTAAACGTAGAAAAATAACACTTGTTTTAAATCGAATTTAAAAATCACAAATCGCAAATCAAATTAGTAGAGAAATACCAGTGAAATTTTTAATATATAAATCTCAAATACCTGTTAAATATGGTCCATGATTTAAACACTTAATTATACGGAAGTTAATAAGTTTTATTTGTGTTTTACTTTTCCACGAATAGAAACGAAATCTTTGTACTTTTCATTTGGCTTACTCTCAATAGTTTATTTCTCAATAAAAAGAAATCAAAATCACAACTAACATAAAATTTTGGGCGAACAGTCACTAGTCATAATTTAAACAACCTTTTTAATACCTTAATTTTATTACCGAATTAATTAAAGCGTATTAAAAAAATGGATAGTTAATAAGTTTTATTGTGTTGACTTTTTAATTTATAGATTTTGAGATCTTTCCCTTCTTATTAAGTTTACTTAGATAATTTTTTTCGCAATGAAAAAAATGCTAAGCGAGAACGTTTTATAGCCTCAATGTCGAGTTACTCTAGTCTTTACTCTAGACTAAGTATAAAAAGGGGCTATCTAATGGTTTAGGATATGTGGATTGTTTTAAAATCTTTAGCTTTAAATGAATAAACAATAATTCCCCATATTGGTTAATATTATTTTTTGAGAAAAAAGAAAAGAGTTGTCAGGTTTTTGTTTTAAAAATGTTTATTATTGTTAATTCGGGTTTGTACTCGGGTTGTTCATAACGGATTCAAATTGACTAATACGCTCGACTTATGGTTAGTTTCATCGTGAGACGATCGCAGGCAGGACTTCTTCTGGAAAAGCATCCCCGACAATCTCAAATGTGGCGGTGGGAATGGTCTCAATCGGCTTCTTAGTGGCGACGGAGCTTCAGGCGGCGCACGGTCTTGTAGCGGTAGCCATCGCTGGCCAGCACGGTCTGCTCGGCGGGCACATCGATGATGGCGGAGGCGGCGGCCTCCTCCACGGGGGGCAGATACTCAGCGGTGGGCAGCTCATTCACATCACGACGACGACGGATCACACGACGAACGGTCTTGTAGCGGTAGCCATCTTCAGCCAGGGGAGTCTCCACGGCGACAGCCTCGGAAGCGGCATCCTCAACTGGGGGCAGGTATTCGGCGGAGGGCAGTTCGTTGACATCACGACGACGACGGATCACTCGGCGCACGGTCTTGTAGCGGTAGCCATCATCAGCCAGGGGAGTCTCCACGGCGACAGCCTCGGAAGCGGCCTCCTCCACGGGGGGCAGGTATTCGGCGGACAGCTCATTCACATCACGACGGCGGCGGATGACACGACGGACAGTCTTGTAGCGGTAACCATCATCGGCAAGGGGAGTCTCCACAGCAACAGCCTCGGAAGCAGCATCCTCAACTGGGGGCAGGTATTCAGCAGAGGGCAGCTCGTTGACATCACGACGGCGGCGGATCACACGACGGACAGTCTTGTAGCGGTAGCCATCAGCAGCCAGGGGAGTCTCCACGGCAACAGCTTCAGAGGCGGCCTCCTCCACGGGGGGCAGGTACTCGCCGGAGGGCAACTCATTCACATCACGACGACGACGGATCACACGGCGCACGGTCTTGTAACGATAACCATCATCGGCAAGGGGAGTCTCAACAGCCACAGCCTCGGAAGCGGCCTCCTCCACGGGGGGCAGGTATTCGGCGGACAGTTCGTTGACATCACGACGACGACGGATCACACGACGGACGGTCTTGTAGCGGTAGCCATCAGCAGCCAGGGGAGTCTCCACAGCAACAGCCTCAGAGGCAGCTTCCTCAACTGGGGGCAGGTATTCACCGGAGGGCAGCTCATTCACATCACGACGGCGGCGGATCACACGGCGCACAGTCTTGTAGCGGTAACCATCATCGGCCAGAGGAGTCTCCACGGCAACAGCCTCGGAGGCAGCTTCCTCAACTGGGGGCAGGTACTCGCCGGAGGGCAGTTCGCTCACATCGCGACGGTGGCGGAGTTTCAGGCGGCGCACGGTCTTGTAGCGGTATCCATCGTCGGAGAGAACTCCCTGTTCGGCGGGCACTTCCACAATGTCGGAAGAGGCCTCCAGATTGTTGTCCACCGGCGGCAGGTAATCCGTGGCAATGGAGGCTGCCGAGGCAGCTGCGATCACAGCAAAGGCAATGACAAAGAATTTCTGCAAGAAACAGGGCGGTTCTAAGAGTTAGTCCTGATGGCAGGATCGCTGGTTGATCGCTGGTGGATCGCTGGTGGATCGCTGGTGGATCGCTGGTGGATCGCTGGTGGATCACCAAAGAACTAACCATTTTTCCAGAAGATCCAAGACGATGTCTGCTAGATTAATCCAAAGTTGATTCTGTTTCCAAACCAGACCCAACGACACTATTTATACAGAAACAGCGCGAAAAGTTCTCGGTCGGCCGATGTCCATTCACTTTGCGATCAAATGCGATGAGCTGAGCTGAGTTGAGATGAGCTACGATGATCGTATGGAGAAACCGGTTGTCGAACTACCGCATCTTCTTCTGAGCTCGGACTTGGATTGTCTACGATAGTTGCTATTGTCAAAAAGTGTCTCAAGCACCAATTGAACTCTGGCTGGCCAGAAGACAAAACGAAAGTAAACAAAGACCGAAACGTAGGCAGGTGGAACAATAGTCGAGGGCTCTTCGATTGTCTCGATTATTTGCATCTCGGTTTGGGGCCTGAATAGATCGGATACGTTTGTGACAATCCATTACCATTGGTAATTGCAAGCGGAAGTCGCCAAGTCGATGTATTTTCTATGGAGTCCGATGTATTTTTGGCGGCTCTCGATCGAGAAGCTTAAGGCCAAAAGTATAAGCCAAGCCATGCCATCTCGATTGATACGCTCTTGATGGACATGAGTGCTGCTATTTTCGGCTCTTTCGCCGCTCGCCACGCTCCATTAGGCGGCTATTAATAGCGGCATGATTTAAGAGTTCGCAGCTCGACTTTTCCATTTTTCAATTTTTTAATTTACAATTTCAAATTTAAATGGCGTGGATGCTCCAGTTGAGCATCAGGCAGGCCATAAATCTCGCGGATAAGCCGAAATGGCTTGGCAATCTCCCACTCACAGCGGTCGTTGCTTTGGAGGAGTCCATTCTGGCGATGATGGAGCACCTCTTAACGATGGTCGAGTGGCTTGGATATGTAGATTGGTTATAAGAATAGAATGGAATGTGCTTTTTATAATTCTGAATTGCCTTCGATTGGTTAACGTTAACTCATTCGTGTATTACATCCTGTTGAGCTCCACAAGCGAAACGTTCTTGTAATTCAGATTTAAAATGCGCACGAAACACCGAAATTTTTCTTTCATTAACTTTATTTCCTGGTCGAAAAAAACAAAAGAACAAAGCTCAATTTCAAATATATTCACACAGCGTTGGGGGCTTTGTTCTTTCGTTTATTCATTTGTAAATGGCGCACATAAAAAATATACATTCAGCCAGACAGACGTACAGTACTGTGCATATTTAATTCATATCTGGCAATCAGCATCATCACTGCCTCCAGATCCGGAAAACGGGGACCAACAAAACAAATGGGACACTTCGCTTTTGGGGCTTCCTGGGATGCGGAATCAAACGGAACGATATCAAAATATATGTGGCGGTCCTTGGTGTCCGATAAAAAACGAAAGTAGGCACAGTTTCGGTACCGCCACCTGACCCAATCCCTTCCCCACTCCCCCCTCAGTCGTCCAGCTGGCAGAGGCAGGCCGTGCCGCGGTTAATCCAGTGCATCGGTTTCCGGGAGCACCGCAGCTGCAGGTACATCACGAAATTGGTCGAATGCCCGGTGGTGGACAGCACGCCCCGCCGTTCGCTGGTCTTGTAAACGGGGCAATCGTAGATGGACTCCGGCTCAGCGCCGCCGGTGGATCGCGGCAAGTCCTCCAGGGCCTTCAGCACGGGACGCAGGTAGATAACTGGCAGCGTGTCGAACAGGATCTTCGAAAAGGACTCGTCCACCTCCTTGTTCTTGCGATTCCAGCGAGCGCCCTCAATGAAGATGCCCTTTAGAAATATTTATGATTGTATTGCGAAAAAAAATGTAAATAAAATGTCAACTGGAAAATATTATTGTATATTTAACACAATTATTAGTTTTTAATACAATGTTGCACCTATTATAAGTTTTGATACATTTTCTTGAAATAAATAAAATATTTTGCTTTCTAATTTGGAAGACGTGAAAATATTTATTAAAAGTCAGCACTTAATAATAAATAAAATAATATTTATGAAAATAGGAAAACAATAATCTAAAAATAAACAAATATAAATTTTTGTTTAAATAAAAAATCGTTCCAAATGATTCCAAATATTAAACAAATAGCTTGTGGGAATTATATTTTATAATTTAAGTAATACATATTGAGTTGAAAGGCCTTGCTAAGCCAAAAAGAAAATATTTTGTTTAAATATTAACAAATTCGTTGATAAAGCTTTTTTGTCAAGAACATTAATAAAAACCAAATTACATAAATGAAAACCAAATAATTAGTTTGCCTTTTTCTCATTAACAAATTATATTACTTTGCTACTGAAAAAGTGCGTTATATTATAAACGCATAAATTATTTATATATACTATCCATCTATTTAATCTAATTAGCAGACGTGCAGAAAATTTCGTGTTTTAAAGGTAGTCTTACTTGGATAAACTTGGTCTCATCATTGACCTCTTTTTGTTCCTGTTGCGTGTGGTGTGTGTGGGAATGTTTTAAAATAAAAACTCGTTTCCATTTAGCAGAGTTCTATTTGTGTTTTCTGTTCTGTGCATAATGAGTTGGCTATCAAACTTACCCGGATGTAGGCCCCGATTTCGGGAGTCCCAGGGACCTGTACCTCGAACTTGGTTACCGCAAACTCGATCAAGATCATGTCGATTTGGAAGCGATTCTTGCGCGAGTAATTCTGCAAGACGCCCGTGATGAAGGACTGGGTGAAGTAGAAGCCAGATATCCAATAAACCATCGGCTCGCCGTTGTCTATCCAATCCTGGAAGAAGGACAGTCTGCGAATGGCAACGAGTTATCTTATTTTTCAATTTATTAATAAATATTAAATATGCGACAACAATGGGATTGGGAATGGGAATGGGAACGAGCATGAGAATGGGTGTGCACACAAAGCATTTGGCAGGAAGAGGAACATGAACAGGAGCTGAAGCAGGAGCACACAAACAGCTTCGTCCTTTGATGTCAAAAGCAAATAAGATTTTTGCCATGAATGGCAGTGGCAACCACAGAAGGAAGAGCATCGGATGTGTGTGCCGTATACATTTATTATATTTGCACAATTGAGCCAAAGAACGAGGAAGGAACGAAAATACTTCGAGCATTGCAGGCAACTCAGCTCAACACAATACCATTGATATCCGTCCGAATGTCTAGAAATACCACTAGTACACTTGGGGAAACTGTTATTTCTTGTGGAGAATATATCTTTCACTACCAAAATGTATTGAGTTGAAAAACGTTGCTATAGTTAGTAAACAGAAATAAGTCATTAAAACATTTCTAAATTCGTTAATCAAGTCAGTCAAAAAATCTTTGAAATTTAAAATCCTGTTTTAATTTATAAATTTATGTAAGAGGTTTTAGGGATAGATTTGAATAGGCGTGGAAAAACTGTAAAGTCCTTCGAAATTATTAAATAAATAACAAAAGAATGTCCAAATAACTTTATAAAATGAAGTTATATAATTCTGTAAAATCTCTCAAAATAAAATACCAAATCTAAAATATAGTAGTTCGCTAAGTGTACTGAACATGACTGCCTCAAAGCGCTGGGCAACTCACCGGGCCAGAAGGTCGCTCACGTAGCTGCCCAAAGGCTTCAGCGACGGATAGCTTTTCTTCAGCCAGTCCGCCGGCAACTTGCCAATGACCATCGAGGCGTGTGTGCGCTCCAGCTCGGGTATCATGGCAATCTGGCCCACCACCGCCTTGCCCACGTTGACCAGGCTCTTGCGGATGTACGAGAGCAGGCGGTTGAAGCGAATCAGCTCCTGCCGCAGCACGGTGTTCATCGAATTGGTATAGACCACGGGATACGACTTGGAGACCGCGTCGATGTCGAACTCCTCGGGCAGCTGGCTCAGCACCTGCTTGCAAATGGCTATGGCCGGGTCTTCTTTTGCTCCGGCCGTGGAACTGGCCTTCACCGAGGCCATCAGATCGGTCTGGGTCAGCAGAACGCCACTGATGAGCTGATTAAATAATTATATATAAATAGTAAATGATTATATTTTACTCTCTTAGAACCTACAGCATTGGTTTCCTTGACATTGCGATTAATGTCCGCATTTTCATGCAATCCATAAACCTCCGGATGTGGACTCAATGGAAAACTGGACACATACTCTATGGAGTTTAAGCGCGTGGGACTCAAGGGCACCAGATAATTTCCAGATTGAGACAAAGCATAGCTATAAATTGAAATTATCAATATTGTTCAATTGGTAGAAGAGTTCAACGCACTTATCCACTTCTATGGTATTGGGATTGTATATCATGTTTAGCAGCGATAATATAAGACGACGATCTTTGTCATCGGTGACTCGACCTCCGTAGTTGCATTCCCCCGTCAAATACACATGTCCACGGAAGGGAATACTCTGACTTTGGTTGATAAACATCTTCAGTTGCAAGAGGGAAATTCTGCAAATGAATTTTAAAGTTGTTAAATGAAAGGTATAAAGAAATCTCTGATAAAATATCAGTAACGCAATAATATTTGAATTGATTTTTGTATTTAGTTTATATTTTACGGAGTGACATTTTTTAATAAAAGGTCATGAAAATAGGCAATAAAAATTATAGTTGTTGTTTTAAAAATATGCAATAAATGTTGGAGGTAATGTAACTTAGGTACAATACTTTGCTTTCAAGTACGCCTTACACCTTTAAGCTTTGTGGCTTAATTCTCTAAAAACTCAGCGTTTAAATATTGATTTGTAACTTTGGTTCAAATTTCATGAAATTTTCTTTCTTTTCCAAAAATGGCTTTACAGAAAAGTTATCTAAAATCAGTACTTGAAAGCACAAAAATTTTAGTTTATAAGTTTGGTTCGATTTTCTTGAAATTTTAATGATGTAACCCCTTTATGATTTTCTAAAAATGTCTTTATTTTGAACTTAAACCAGAACTCCTAACGGCAGAACTTCAGAAATGCTCATTTGAAAGTAATGATATTACAATCGTGGTACCCCAGACAACATTTACTTACTTCAAATCGGACTCATTGAACTCGTAGGGTATGTTCCAGCCGAGGGGTCCGAACTCGCGCCGCTCCTGGACGACAGCATGGAAGAAGACCAAGGCGAAGACGCCCCTAAGCCAGCACTTGTTTGCGCTGTCCGAGAAGAGGAATGCGTTGGTGAAGAACTTGTCCCGCATCAGCGGATCCGAGGTGAAGGAGCGATGCATGTTGGCCCTCAATCCCTTGGGCGGTTCGTTGGTCATCTTCACGGAATTCTGGAGCACCGAAACGGGGAAGACGGCACTGGGATATGAGGTGCACCACAGTCGGTAGTCGTGGCTGGCGCCATCCGTCAATGTGGTGTCGTTGCAAATCCTCTCCAGGTCGCCCATCCAGCTGATGGCCACGTGACAGTTCTGCAGCACCACCCACTGGCCATGTCGCGCCGCCTCCGCAATCATCTTCTCCGCCCGCGGACCCTGGCCCTGACCCAGCGAGATGGTTTTCAATCTGTTCGGGACGAGTTCTGCTTAGCATAAATTTCTTTAAAGAGTTGCTGGTGGGTGTGGGAGGTGCTCAGCACACATATCGACAAGGTGCACATGTCGCGCTTAATCGAAAACAAGCCACCATTCACCATCAACCATCCACCATTCACCATCAACCAGCACCACCGGCATCACCATTGGCATCACTGCCAACCATACAGCCATCCATCCATCCACCCACCCATCGAAACGGACACGGAAATATAAGCCACTCTCGTTAATTAACTTACTTGTCGTACATGTTGCGTTGTTTGGCGAACATGAAGAGACTGGCCATGGGATCCGATCCGGCCGAGAGCAGGAACACCAGCGGAATTTTGGGCGAGCTGTCCGCGAACGAGGCCGCCAAATCGAAGGGTGGCGGCTCCACAAACGAGCGGTCCAGGTTGCGCGTAATGAAAGCCTGACAAAACCGATGGATATTAAATGTGCACTCTGCCCAAGGGGCCAGGTTTTCGGGCATCAGCATCGCCATCGACCATGGCTGTGGATCAACTTACCCTTACGGCGGGCACCAGTTTGTCCGGACGCAGAGCCTTAATGACGATCAGGAAATACATATCGGTCACCGTATTGAGCGGCGCCGGCAGCGGCAGCTGGTCGGGATTGCTGGCGTCGTAGAACTTGTGCCACGCATCCGCATTCGACTCCATCATCTGGGGCAGGTTCTTGAGGCTATCCAAACAAAAAAAAAGGGTAAAGGAATTAGGGAAAATTAAAGCAGATTTATCAACATGCTCTGACAAAAATTTAAAATAAGAAAATTATCTCAAAAAGCGATGGTTCTTTATGCTTTTTTTAAGTTCTCTTATTCTAATATCTTATAATTTTTATAAAGCTTGTATCCTTTTATTTAGGTAGCAGAAATATTCGTTGGCTTAGGATTTTATTTATGAAGGATATTTACTTGTAAAAGCCGCAATTAAAACTCTTTTAAATCTATGTTGTAAGTAAATTCCTTAGTCTATTCAAAATAAGAATCTCAAAAAGCGGTTGGTACTAATTTAATTTAATTTAAGATAATTTTAAAAAATACCTTTTAGATATAAATATATATCTATTTTCCAGTTTTTCGCTGTACAGTGTACACATATTCCTTATCTTACCCTTCCAGATCGGCGGACCTGCAGACAGCCGCCCATGATTTCTCCGGAAGCCATGATGCCAAGGGATTCGCCGGAATGCTCTTGTAACCAATTCCGCCCGTGAGAAAGAAGAGCAGGGCCGCCTTCTCCACTCGACCCTGTGAAACGAGGATGCCCAGACACATGACCAGCGAGATGACCAACTTGTCCTTCTCGAACAGCGATCGACACACATTCGTGTAGATGGACTTGGTGAAGTAGTCATTCAGGTTCTTCAATCGCTCACTCAGATTATCGGACTTCGGTGCCTTCAGGATCGTGTTGACAAAGAGATTGAGGAACCAGGAGAGTGAATACTGATACATGGGATCCACGTTGGCCAATTCGCTGATGCAGAAGAACAAGATGGCCGAGTGCTTGGACACCGGAATATACTGCTGACGGGCGGCATCGATCTCGATTTCAGTGGCCACCGCAATGACCTGCTTCTCCTGAATGTCCTCTGAAAGAATTTTACTGGACGAAAGAATGTTGATGGCGTTCTCGTCCTCCAGCACATTGCCCTCTGAGGTGGACAAAACCTGGGGTAAATTATTGTGATGTTAAGGATTAAAGTGGAAACGAATATATATAAGGATTATAAAAACGTATGAAGAAGTCATGCATTAAATACCATAAGTTTTTGTTGAATTGCCAAATTTAATTGAGTAAACCCAAAGTATTATTAAGTTTATTGCATTAAAAAAAACCATCAAGTATGATTTAAATTATTTTAAAAGTGATTATACTGATAAAGAATTATACAGGTTTCACGCAAATTAATTAAAAAACATATGTTAAATTTGAAATTATATGTTCTAATTGATAAATTATAACTTTTAATAAAAATCTGGTTTGAATGCCAATTTAAACTTTTAAAAAAAAAACCCGACTTGTATTTGCGATTTGCGCGTCCTGCTTCCAGTTAATTGAATTGTCATTGGCCAGGCACAAAAGCATAAATTGCTAGCCCGGCTCTAATTGAATCTGCCGAGCATGGCCAACGGATTGGAATGGAGCGGACTGCCTTCAACTGAGCGCTCAAAGAGCATGCGAGGATATGAAAACATTTATTATGCCAACAGCAGCAGGAGCAGAAGGAGCAGAAGGAGCAGGACGACGACTGACTAGCACACAAGAACAGAAGAACAGAAGTACAGCTGAGCCAAACCAAAGAGCCTTACCTCTAATATCTTCGATTCGATGGTGTACAATGCATCACGATTCCTTGCGGACTCAATAATCAATTGTTCCTTCTTCTCTTGCAAATCGGGACGCTCGTGAGCCACCACAATCGCCAGCAATTGTTCGCGTAATCCCTGTTCCGTTATCATGAAATTTAATACTGTTACCTAAACAGAGGAGAGACAGAATGGCGCAGGCAGGCCAGGATCAGTGCTGGTGGTAGACTGGTAGAGTGGAAGAGTGGTAGAGTGGCACGTAAAATGGAAGGAAAACTCAAAATAAACACACAATGTGCCACAAAAAAAAAAGATGGTGGAAGAAAGGAAAATTGTGTGGGAGTTTGTGGGGAGGAGGAAGGGGAGCGTTTGCTAACATAGATGGTTAAAAGGAAAACTGCTGACAACAGTTGCAGCATAAAAAGCGATGGCAAACGGCAGCAGGAGCGAAAAGCTGGAAAAATTTTATAAACACGTCGAGCATGAGCATGAGCACGATGAGCAGGAGCAGGAGCAGGAGCAGGGTGAGGTTAAGGCTTTTGGGATAGATGTCCTCGATGGCCGGGCTTTGGCTGCTAGTTATGCAGCACCACCGCCACCTCGCACGTACATCGCCATTCCATTGCGCTCCATTCCATTCCGCACCTCCACTCCACATCATCCACGTCAATGCCAACGAAAATTTGCATATTCCCAGCGCCTGCTGCGCTGCATCGCATCCTCCAAATATCAATTTAAGTTGGTCGTTTTATTACACAACTAACGTCATCATTGGCGCAGACTGTAGCTCTCCTTTCATTCTTCCATTTTTTTTTTTTTTTGATTTTTTTTTTTTTTTTTTTTTGGACAGGGACAACTTACCATAACCATCACTTCCGGCGGATAACGCGGATTGCGGAGACAGGTCGTTATGTAAAGACGAAAGTTGGGATTGTATTCTATCATTTGGTCGCCGCTCTTGATAAACAGACCGCCCTTGTGCTTGATGATGTTCTTCTCCAGAATGGGCGTGAGATTCGAGTCGAGTTTTTCACCTATTTTTGGGGGTTTAAGGTGAAACGGCTACGGTACACTTAAAACGTAGTCAATCCAAGTATTTCATACTCAATTTAAATATTTTTCGCTTTGATTTTCATTCATTGCGATTTTAACTTGTTTTAAATATACAATTTTAAAATAAACATTTTTTAATATCTGAGAATTGAATTTAGGCTCAAGCCTCGTTAAAGTTAAATTGAATTATTATATATTTTAAATTAAATTATATTAAAATTAAATCTAATGTTTTTTTATAAAATCAAGCAATTTATTATGAGTTGCAATTAATGTAATACTTTTATATTTAATTATGAAATAAAAAGTTTCGAATTCAATAGCTAGATTTTTTTTTTTATAGTGTTTCATTTTAAAGGGGACCGTCATCATTATCAGCGATGTAATCAAAATCACAACTTAATGGTTAATTTTTGAAAAAAAAATAAAATTTGCAGCGATTTTGTGAGCGATTATTTAATACTCAAAAAATAAATAAATAAAATAAATTATTATTTACTGTCCCTGATTTATATCAGTGTATAGAAATGGCTCCCCAACCAGAACTCACCCACATTCTCGATGAGCACGGGCTGACCATATGTGATGGCCAACTCTAGAACCTGCATATAATTGGCATCGCTCTGCTTGATGACTTTAAGATTATTATTCTTCTCCATGTTCTTGATCCATTTGTTGGCTTGCACTGGGGTTGGTTAAGATTATGAGAAAAGAAATCTTTAATATCTTATACTAACTCACCCTGCGGATCGATAAGTAGAGAATAACGACTGGAGTTGGTCACTATGATGCCGTTTTCCACCGAAAAGTTGTCGGCTGGCAATCCAGCTAAAGACCAGGCTCTAATGGTCATGGGATGACCCAAAGTGGTGGCCAGCGAAAAGGTTTCACTGCTGGGAATGTGTTTGCGCAGACACAGGGCATTCCAGTCATCCAAAATATTGACACGGTACTAGAAACAAAAGGCACAGATTTCCGCTAAGTATGCTAGCTATGTCTATGGATTTAAGCAAAAATGTCCTGTCAGCTGCACAGGAGCATACAAAAAAGGAGCGAAAAATCAATGTCACGTGCTCATGCATATTAAAACCCTTTATGGAAAAGCTTTCCGAGAACCGTGGACGTGGTCACGACCATTAGCTGTCATTCCGGCAGATGGACATAGACATGGACATGGAGTATTATGTATGTGGAAACCAAAAACTCACCTCCGTGGTAAAATAGCCCAGGTAAGCGGTGCATCCGCCGGCCAACAGCACATCGCCCACAATGTTGCTAATGGATTCGTGAAGATTCTTGGCCGCCTCCGACCAGCGCGTTTTCTCGCCACCCAAGCCACCCAGCAGCTTTTCAGCTCTGCAAATGGATGGCACAGATTATGGATGGCTAACTCTAACGATAACCCAACTCACCGGTTCAACTTCTTCTCGCAGTTGTCGATTTCATCCTCCAGTCGCTTCTTTTCCCGCGATTTTTCCGCAAAGAAATCGTTGAGTTTTTGCAACTTATCCAGAATAACCTGCAGTTCGGCCCGCTTGGCATTCAGCTTCTCCATTTGCTGGGAAAGCTCTCCCTCGGCCTCGGCCAAGGCCGCCTTCTTGGGCATCACAATGCGGGCCACCTTGTCGTATACGTCCATGGCTCGGACCCATCGACAGATGCCCTCGCAGGCCATGGAGGCCGCCTTGATTTTCTCCGGCACAAAGTCACGATCTGCAATGTACTTCTCGCGTATCCGCTTGATTATTGGCGGTGGAATGTTGTCCTTGTCGAAGGTTTTCAGGGAGTCGAGGAACTTCATGTCGCTGAGCATGCGCATGGAGGGTCCCCAGTAGTCCTCCACCATGTGTCCACTGGGATCAGGCTTGCGATCCGGCTTAATGCCCCTGATCACGCAAACAGCCTCCATGGTTAACTTCACGCCATACGGTGGATTCTTCATGGACTTCACTATGAAGATGTCCGCTGGCTTCAGGGTGTTCAGGGCCTCCAAGGCCGCCTCCATGGCGGGAATGGCCTCGGCCAGATCGGTCTCGCAATCATCCTTGATGGCCTGTGCCGCAGCAGCGGCTTCGTTGGCCGCCGCCTCATCCGCACCCACCACCTCCTTCTTTTTCTCCGCCTCCGCCGTTTCCCTTTCGATATTTACCATGATGCGATCCGTTTCCTCGGAAAGCACCTTCAGTTTGGGCTGCAAATCGTACAGGTTGGTCTGCATTTCGCCCACCTGACCGGCGGCAAAGTCCAGTTTCTCCAGACCGGTGGTATAGCGATCTCTCAGCCGGGTAATCTCGTCCAGCTTTCGGGTGTAGAAAGTGCGAAAGGCCTTCAGAAGCTCCAAGTAAGCAGATGGGGTCACATAATTCCGGCGGTTCAGTTCCAGGTAACACTTTTCACTGGCATCCACCACGGACTGATGAAAGTACATGACGCAGTCGACCAGGTCCTCCTCCAGTCGGCTCAGCTCCCGATCGCCGGCGATTGTTTCGCGACGCACTTCCTCCTGCTCGGGATCTGCGGGATCCTTGGCCTGAGCCTGCAGCTGCTCCTGTGGCTCCTCTCCATGCGGGCGATTCAAATTCATCGAGGTGACGAAGTAGGTGCCCACTCGGGACAAGGCCTCCTCCGGCCAGGGCATGTACCAATCGATGGTGCAGCAGTTAATCAGGGAGGGATACACCCGAATGCGCTCCTTGAAGGATTCGCCGATGGGCGAGAAGGCCAGAGCGACGTGCAACTGCTCTCGAATGCGGTCGATATAGAAGGCATACACCTCACTGGGCAGTGTGTCCAGAACTTTGCCCTGGGGAAAAAAATCTGTGGTTAGTTAACACTCATCTTGGTTGAGGTGAAAGGGATTTGGCAAAGAGAGTTTCATTTTGATTTTTTCCTAAAACTGCATTTACCTTTCCCAGTTTCAGTGATGCTAAAATTTCTTATTTTGATTGATCCCCACAATTACTCTAATATTCCAAAACGTACATCTTTAAAATCTTGATGTTTTTATTTAAATTTTAAAAAAGTAACCTTCAAAAATCAATCTACAAAGCTAAAAACTAATAAAATTAAATAAAATACACACAATATTTTTATTGTCTGAATTCTTATAATGTACAATTTTAAAATCATAAAGCCTCAAACATTTTTTTACATTTACTGAAGTATAACAGTACAGTTTCAGTTTTTAAGCTAGTATTCTATTTCTTTTTGAGTGACAAAAGCAATTGTAAGAGTTTAAGACCATTACAAATTTGTTAAGATAATAAAAAACTTTTAAATCCATAAGATTCTTATAAAGTACGATTTGAATAATAAATTTATTAATTTCTTTGGTGATTAAAAAATATTTGTCAAATGCACTCATGTAATGAATAATTTCTTTTTTTTTGCACAAATGTAGCTTAATGTACCAGTTCAGCTTTTCAGCTAGTTTTCAGTTTCTCTGTGTGACAATAGCCACTTTTTCCGTGCGCACTCACCAATTGCTTGGCCACATTGGCCATGTTCTCCATGATGGTTGCCTTGTCCTCCAGCTGATAGAGATTGGGCAAATCACCGGTATTAAGTATGCCATTGATATCCTCCACGTAGCCCTCATCCGTAGCCTGAAATCGGACCGCAGGGCGAAATGCGGAGCAACAGAAAGGGATAATTCACAACTAAGCAATGCAAATCGGAGTGCAGTTTGAGTTTTGGAGTTCGAGTTGGAGTTGCAGTTGAAGTGGAAGTTGGTAGAGAGTAGGGAAAATGCATTTTTATGTTGCCGGGGAGTCCTCCTTGTGCCTCCCAGGCTCCTGGGACATGCATTTTGCATTCGCCTAAGTGGCCTTGTCCCAGGACTCAGGATTTGGGATTCAGTACTTGGGAGCTATGCAGGTAGCTCTTTTCGGTGTAATTGTTAATTAATATCTGCATGGGGCTTTGTTCGGCACAGACAGACTGAACGGGGGGAGATAAATCATTGATTGGACGGCCCAAGGACGCCCGTAAAACATTCTAATGCATCGTAAAGTTTTGCAATCGGGGAAAGAGGAAACAGGGGAAGGCCCCAATCCGATTGGGCTTCGGCATTGCAGAGTTTTCGGCAAACAGAATTAAAGCAGTTTTAATCCGCTCAAATGGCTTCTAACGCTCGTGTATAGGGACTTCCATTTTTGGTCACGCTTCACGGTCAAACGGACAAAGAGAGTATTAGGCGAATACGGAGCATTATTATGTTTTGGAACAATGTGTAAACACCTGCACATTGTTTGGCCTGCGTACCGCATCGATTGGATTTAGTTTTGGCCAAGCTAATTTATTGACCAACATTTAATATGGGCTGAGGTGCGACGACACCGCAGCACGCCGCCTTTGTTTCGTCGGCAATTTTCTGAAGCCCACTCATGTGCTCTTGATTTGCCATAGTTCGAGCCACGGCCTATGCAAATTACTGAGCAATAATCAAGTTAGTTCAACAATTAACCTAATTATAAATGCAAATTTTGCCAAAACAATGAGTGCCGGAGTGCTTCCGCATAGAAAACTGATTTGGGGGTAAATTTAATTGTCCAATCGCTCGTGCGACAAATTTGTGGCCAGACATCGGATCCTAAGCTCTGCTTTATTTCCCAGAGTATTCAAATTAATTTCAATTTAATTTATCAATTTACATACTCGGATTACTGAAAAGTCAGACAGTCGAAGTCGAGTCTTTATGGGTTTATCGTTCCCAGCCTGGGCTCAATTTTGTGCTGTCGACTGGATTTACAACCTTATTAAAAGCCCGTTCCCTGATGGATTAGCATATCGACGTCAGCCAACACACTTATCGATCGTTTTACGAGAATTGGTTTCCAGTTAACTCACCTGTGCGTCGGAGAAGAGAAATACGGTGTGGTTCAGATTGAAACTGGCCGACATCAGTATCTTCTTCAGGTCGTCGCGCCAATCTGTAAGCGTATAGCTCTTGGACACCTGCACCGTCATCAGTCGGCAGTCGGCTATGTAGGCGGCCAGGCGACAGGAGCTCCTGCGTCCTGATCCGCCCATGCCCACCATCAGGATGTTGCCACGAGGCATCTGCAGCACCCGGGAAACTCTGGAAAAGGAAATGGACTCATAAAGTCTACCCCTCTAAGCCTCAAAGAAATTGTTCTTAAATTAAAAATTCTAAATATAGGGATTGAGCAAAAGAACTATTGGTTTGTGATTTTTAAAGATTTCTTTAAGTAACAGTCTGCTTTTCATTTTTAAATAAATTTAAATGATTCATCATTGTAGCCATAAATTAAAATAACAAAACGAGCCTTGAAATGGTCAATTTATTTTATTATTTACATTAGAGCTGTTGATAAAAGTTTTCATTTGTACAGTAACACGGTAAAATGAAATTAAAATTATTATTCTAAAATGGAATATATAAATGTTATACCACAAAATTGTTATTCTTGTGTTTAAAATTTCCAATAAACTGGCATTCACAACTCCAAAATTTAGCTTTGGATAAAATTTCGAAAAAAATGATGATGGTACCACCCCTTATAAAAATTGCTAAAATTAGCGACCTCGAAAATATGAGTTTAAATTGCAGTTTTTTGATCAAAACTACGGAAAATAATTGTTCAATGTTGGAATGACATACCTCGTTGAACTCGTCATAAAATTTACAACAAACTGGCATTCACAGCTCAAAAATTTTGGTTTGGATCAAATTTCGAAAAAAATGATGATGGTACCCCTTATAAAAAATGCTAAAATTAGCGACCTCGAAAATATGAGTTTAAATTGCAGTTTTTTGATCAAAACTACGGAAAATAATTGTTCAATGTTGGAATGACATACCTCGTTGAACTCGTCATAAAATTTACAACAAACTGGCATTCACAGCTCAAAAATTTTGGTTTGGATCAAATTTCGAAAAAAATGATGATGGTACCCCTTATAAAAAATGCTAAAATTAGCGACCTCGAAAATATGAGTTTAAATTGCAGTTTTTTGATCAAAACTACGGAAAATAATTGTTCAATGTTGGAATGACATACCTCGTTGAACTCGTCACAAAATTTACAACAAACTGGCATTCACAGCTCAAAAATTTTGGTTTGGATCAAATTTCGAAAAAAATGATGATGGTACCCCTTATAAAAAATGCTAAAATTAGCGACCTCGAAAATATGAGTTTAAATTGCAGTTTTTTGATCAAAACTACGGAAAATAATTGTTCAATGTTGGAATGACATACCTCGTTGAACTCGTCATAAAATTTACAACAAACTGGCATTCACAGCTCAAAAATTTTGGTTTGGATCAAATTTCGAAAAAAATGATGATGGTACCCCTATAAAAAATGCTAAAATTAGCGACCTCGAAAATATGAGTTTAAATTGCAGTTTTTTGATCAAAACTACGGAAAATAATGGTTCAATGTTGGAATGCCATACCTCGTTGAACTCGTCATAAAATTTCCAACAAACTGGCATTCACAGCTCAAAAATTTTGGTTTGGATCAAATTTCGAAAAAAATGATGATGGTACCCCTTATAAAAAATGCTAAAATTGGCGACCTCCAAAAAATGAGTTTAAACTGCAGTTTTTTGATCAAAACTATGGAATATAATGGTTCAATGTTGGTTTGCCATACCTCGTTGAACTCGTGATTAAATTTGCAACAAACTGGCGTTCACAGCTTAAAAGTTTTGGGTTGGATCAAATTTCGATAAGATGATGACCCTCTATAAAACTTCCAACAAATTTGCATGTCTTGTGTCTTATCATTATTATTATATTATAGCAATCAATTTTCATCTAAAATGTATTCTTATTGCCAATGTTAACCTATTTCTTAAATAAATATTTCTTAGCTCACCTGCTTACATGTTCGATGGCAAATCGGAACATGACCAGATCCATGGGTGAGCTCGAAAAGGAATTGTACTCCCTGAGATAGTACTTCATCAGCTTCTCCAGCTTCTCGTAGGTATCGCCCTCATCATAGAACTTGGGCTCGGCATCAGGTTCCATGTAGTTGCCGTAGAAGAGATTGCGGAGGTCATTATCCGTGAGTTTTTCGCCCGGTTCGATGCGATCGCCAAAGGCCTGCTCCAACGGGAATCTCAAATTAGACTTGCAGGCATCCACGGCCATCAGGAGCAGACGATCTCGATCCCGCTGGTCCACCAAACTGGGAAAGGTATATACCATTAAAAACCAGCTAAATGGGTAGAGCACCATTACTCACCGGTCGTAGAAAACGCGATAGGTTTCGTGGGCCCACAGGCGACCCAGCTTCTCGGGATCGGGCATCCTTTTGGGTGGCACCATCACGATGCCCTGGAAGACGCGGGTGATGTCGCGCAGGGAGAAGGAGTAGTGCGACTTGGCTGGAGTGGGAAGAAAGCTGCGAATCGCCTCACGGTACACACTGACCATGGCCTCCGATAAGCCCTGCAAAAGGATAACATTCATACGCGGCAAAATACAATAAAATCCCCATACACAAACAGCGAACAGCAAACGGAGAGAGAAACATTCGAAGTTTTTGGGGAAATGAAGCTATAAAATACGCCATTTTAATTTTATTATGTAGCCAACGCTTGGATGCCAGCCAAGCACGGCAGACGACACATGGATGGACTCCATTGACTCCACTGACCAGACAATCATCCTCCATTCGACTCGCTTTTTGCGTGCGGTTTTTACACGATTACAAATTGGCCACGAACATTGGTTTTATAAAAAAATGTCTTTAGTTTTTTATGAAGTATTTTTGTAAGCTGAAAAAACTTGTATCAAATAAATGGTTTTAATATTGTTAGTTTAACTTTTGGTTATTTTTAACAGAAACTATACATTTTTTAAGGCAGCAATCTAAATTTGATCTGCATTTTACTACTTTTCATTGGTTATAGCAAAAAATATTCTATAATGTTTGTACAATTTCATTTTAGTTTTTTAGGAGGCAATCGAGTATCAAATATCCAGAAATTATATATATATTTGTACACTATTTAGGCTATTTATTTAGACGATTCAGCATTTTCCACGGATATGATTGTTGTAAAATAAACAAATACATTTTTTTAGACAAAAACACCCATATCAAATAAAATGTTTAACAAAATTTGTAAGATTAATTGTTGTTCATTTTCAATATAAACACCAAATGTTTTTTACAATTTTTATGTTTGTGTTTTAGGATATAAATATATTGTATTGATTATATATACAATATATATATAAATCATTGAGTACCAATTCCTATAAAAACAAGCTTTGAACTTTATCTAAATTTAAATTTGATTCCTTTTTAAAATAAAAATAATATATTCAAACCCAAACAGTTTTTCTCCGTCTGCATGCTGTTGTTTTGGGATGGAACGGATAAAGATACGTACGCGGGATAGGAGAGCCACCTTTTCCGGATAGCCCTTGGAAAAATGCCAATCACCAATCGTTGTGAATATCCGTATGATGGTGGAGTCCTCAAAGGAATCGACGGCCACCACGAACATGTGGCGATAGAGACGCGGGAAAATGAAGTTACTGCCACCCAAAGTGCCCATGGCGCACATCAGAGTCTGTCCAGCGATTCAACAACAAGGGGGCAAAGATGAGAAATTCACAGATAACTTATGGCCAGCTTATGGGCTGGCAGCTCCACCTACTATATACCTACCATGTCAACCAGCTCGATTTTGGTGGTGTCCACCAGGTCCGACCAATATCCATGATCCAGCCAAGTGCGGAGCAACTCCAAAGGTGCCTGCGAGCCGTAGGTGTCCTTTGAGGGCATGGCCACATCATCGCAGAAAACAGTGCACTTAAATTAAAGATATATTAATTAAAAATTCACTTTATAGTTAGCCTCAATAACCTTTTTGCCTAAAGAGGGTCCAAAGACGCCCTTGCGCCTCCTGTCCAACTTGCTCATGATGGTTTCCTGGACCATTTGAGCCGAGGTTCGAGCCGAAAAGTTGATGACATTAACCAAATTGGCGAACTTGGGCATGGCCAGCAGGTTACTGGTGATGATGGCACTCTTTCCCGTGCCCGTAGGTCCTACGACCAACATGGCGTATGATTTCGAGATGCAAAAGTCCTGCCAATACGAAATATAACCCGTTTCCTTAGTGGGCACAATCAGTTCGCTGATCTGAGCATTCTCGGGAAAGGTTGCCGTAGTGCCCGAGCTGTCATCGCTCTTCTGCCAGGTCCACCAGTTCTCCGCCTCATCGAATCGGTAGTCCAGGAACAGCAGCTTCTCGGGAAACATTTGACCGCGATTCAGGGAGAAGTACTTGGGTTTCGGGTAGTTTTCGTTGGATCCATAGATCACCTTACGCAGCATTGTATCGAAAGTACGCTGACCCTGGCCAGTGAGGGCAGAACCATAGGCCCAGGCGAAGCAGAAGAGGAACATCTGCTGGAACCAGGTCTGATTGAACATCTTGTGCTTCTCAAGGAAATGCAGAAAGAAGCGGGAGAATGTCTGGTACTGATAGATGGGCGACAGTTCCAGCATTTGTTTGCACTGCGGCAGGAACTCCAAGGCAGCTGGAACCAGCCACTCCGTCATGTCCTCGAACAACGTCATGTAGATCTCGTTCAGGCCCACCTTGTTCACCAGGACATTGATGAAACTCTTGTGCAGCGCCCGCCATCCCAGTTGCGATGGCTCCATGTAGATCATGCCACACCGCGACACGGTGGCCGGCGATGCCTGCTCCAAGTCCGCCGGCTCGAACATCATGTTCATCAGCTTGGTCATCTGCATTATCTCGCCGGACATCAGGCAGAGCTTCTTGTTGTCGTCCAGCACGGTGTTCAGATTCTCGATCCACACCGCGTCCACGGGTCCGTCGAACATCACCCATCCCCTTTCCCCTTTGGGCAGTTGCACCTGCTCCCGGAATGTTTTGGCCAGCACTCCGTCGTACCACTCGTGGGAAACCGGATCGAAACGGCCGTACAGTTGGCCCATCGTGATGGCTTTCGGGTTGATGATGCGGAACGTGACCGGGAACTCCTTCAGCGTCGCCTCCTCGTCGTTGGAAACGTTTCGCAACGTCTGGGCTAAAACCTGGTGGCAAGAATTAATAGAAGCACGGAAAATAAATTTATTAGTAATAATAATATGGTTAATTACTCTATGCTGCAGAAAAAAAAATTGATGTACGTATACCTTTTAAAATCGTTTAAAAATACTACGACTTTTTGGAAAAAAGTATTCAAAAAGCGAAATAGCTATGTTTGGCCATCCTATTAAAGAATTTTGAATACTTAAACTCTTGCGCCCGTTAATCAAATTTAATATTACAATTACAACATTGTGTTATTGAAATATAAATGTTTAAGCTTAAAACTATATTTAAAATATATATTTTCCAATTGTTATTCAGTTTAATTGTACTTTTCAGTCTGTTCATATTTCTTTAGTTACGGTGTAATTAATTTTTTCTGTGCAAACTGTAACGTTTGTTAACTCATTAATTCCAGCCCATTTAATTGGCTGGCCTAGCGGCGAAATTAATAAGCGTATGGATGGAAGGAGTTTTACTGGAAACAAAGATATTCACCTGGTAGGCAGTGGTCTTTCCGCCCATCGAGCCGCCCACAATCATCAGGCCGTGCCGCACAAGCAGCATCTCGTATATTTGCAGAATTTTCTCCAAATACCAGGGCGTCGCCTGCAGATTCCGATCCGCCAGGTTGATGTGCAGCCACTTGAGGATGTCGCCACGTTGCGGCTGCCCGGCGTAAATAAAAATATGAAAAGTGCGAAATGGTAAATGGGAAATGGTATGCAGGCAGTTAATCAATGTTGTATATGCGTATTTTAAATGACAGTAGTTTGTGACAAAGAATAAAAGGAAAAGTACTCTCAGAAAAGAGGTAGTTAATAAAGGTGTAAATTATTAAAGACTTGTAAAGATACTCAATCTCTACAATATGAGGTATTTATAATAGTAACTCGAATATTTACTTATACAGAAAACTACTTTTAAAGAGCATAAAAAGTTCGTTGTGGTAACCTTTCCCGCCAAAGTAAATATCATTTATATTTATTTATCATTAAACCATTATCAAATTAATTGGCGGCGCTTGCAGGTCATTACACCTGAAAAATGTTAATTGATTTAAGCAGATGAGTATAATATTGCTTACCATGGGAAGCTCAACGCCGGGGAACAGATCCATGTAGATGCCTATGAAGAGGGAGATGTCCTGCTCGAGGAATTTTGGCAAATTGACATCGACGATGGCACGCAGGACAATCTCCGGCTCCGGCAGGTCAGTGTAGAGCCTTCGCAGGGAGGCGGAGGCCAACAGGACCGACTTTACGGCGCGCATTCCTGGCAAATAAAAGTACAGTCAGACATCGATAAAATATTTATAAAACTAGGGATTCAATTGATATACAAATAAATATAATTGAGAAATAAGTACGATCTCTTTATAGACTTAACATATTTTTTGTAATTCAATAAAAACAATTCGGAAGAAATTATTATAAAATGGAAAATGTAAGGTAAACATTTAATTAATGAAGGTTGCACAGATTTGATTTAATTAAGCAATAATAATTTGAAAATTGCCTTCGGGAAATTGAGAAGGTCCGGTTCAACCTGATTCAGGCTAAATGGTTTTTTAAACTATTTATGTAATTTAGTAAATATATAAATGTGATTGGTAAGTAAAATCTATGGTTTTAATTACTAATCTTATTTAATAGTCCTTTAAGCAAACTAAGATATTGACTTTATCTTCATGAATTTATTAAAAGTCCATCATGATTTATGATAACTGTGTTTGTCATTTTAAAGGCAGTTAGAGGTTTGACCGTAGGGCAATAGATCTCCGGAAGTTCGGGAGCGTGGGAAGTCGGAGGTTTTTGGGGCATTAGCTTGACAGTTATGCGAGCGCATAACTCAACGTGGAGTCGGCAGCTCCAGGTATTTGGCGATGGCATTGCCGTTGCCGATGGCGTCGACTGGGCGACCTGGTCCTCCACCTGGAGTTCTGCTCCAGCCGGAACCCATGCGCTTCGCATCCCTCCGCATCCCTTCGCTTCATTATGGAGCCAGGGAAATGCTAAACTTTCGCAAACGTTGCAAAAACAGCTGGACAGGAGTCGTCGCGATGGGTTGCTACTGGGGGAGGATTGCTGGTTTTGCTGGTGGGCAACTAAATGTACAAATAGTTTTTATTATTACTTGGCAGAGCGGCAAATACAATGTGTGTGTGTGTGTCTATGTGCCATTTGTCTCTCACACACGCAACACAAAAGCGCAGCCCAACTTGCAAGAAAGTTTTTCAATTTAAACTCAAAATAAGATACTGATCAAATGTACTTTGCACATAAACTTGCGCACAGCTGCCTTCCTGCAATTGCAGGCAGCGGCCGGACAAAGATGCACACACACACTCGCACTCACACACACATGCACACTCACGGCCATGGAAAATCCATGGAAAAGCCATGGAAAGCCCGGACGGAGTGGCAAACACAGACATGTTGTAATGTCATATGACATGTTACGTCGTAAAAGGAGCAATATCTTTGCCTTGAAACAAGCAGAAGGATGCACGACCCAAAGAGAAGGAGACACGCACGCAGGACATGAGACATCCGGAAAGTTGTGGCCCCCCAGAACGCATTCGGAAAACCCCCTCAAAGTTTTTCTCCAGAGATGGAAAAAAAAACACGTGTTGTTGACTACTTTTGCGCCTTATTAGCCAGGTGGAGCGGTGACCCCGCCCCCCTGATCAGGTCATGTCTAATACCGGCCTTATGCCATGCACTTTTTGCGCCAGAGTGCATGGAAGTTCCTTGAAGCGGTGGAGAAAAGTAGACATTGATGCTATGAAGTTTAATGACGTTCCAGAAGTAGTTTCTTTGACAAAGGTAAACTGGATATAATTGAAATTATGAAGCATATTAAAATAAAGTAAACCTATTTTGTTAACCTATTTTGTGATATTTAAAAAGGTTTTATTATATTTTTATATTATATTAATAATATTATGATTCTATCTTTAATCAAAACAGATATTAGTTTTAATTGTTTGTCTTTTTAAAGTTAATTGTCTTTTTTGCATTTATTTCTATAAAGAGCAACAGCCTTTTAAACCTTCTTTCCCTTCAGCATGTCATATTAAAATCTGTACTCCAATTTAAGTTTACTCCTTTCTCTATTTTCTATGTCAAATCTACAATCCTAGCCACCTTAATCATAATCAATCACTTCAGGTATTTATGACTTTTTTGGACTCCCTACTCACCGTAATCGTAATGGGACTGCGAAGACAGCTGCTCGGAGCACAGCTTATAGGCCTGCACTATTTTCTGGGAGAGGTTCCTGGCCATGTCGAATCCGTTGGAGTACAGGGTGATCTCGCCAATCATGGCGTAGTCCGGCACCATCATGGCCACCGTGCGGAAGAGGACCTTCAGATTGTCCGGCAGCTCCGTTCTCCCGGCGTAGCTGTGGGAAAAATCAGGACGAGTTGGAAGGACGTCGTTTAAGAGCCCGTTGGGCAATCAAATTCATCAAAGTGCAAGTGCTAATGGCATAAATACTAAACACAGGCACTCCTCACAGTTCTCCCATTTTCCCCAGTTTTCCCCATTTTTCCATTTTCCATGCACCATGGCCAATAACCAATATGAGTGACTGCTCTTAAGAACGTCTGGTTGCGTGACAAATTGGCAGGCAGGCAGGAAAAGCAAAGCAAAAACTGGATACTTCTAGCCGGCAGGAATGGCAAAGCAAAAGCAAAAGCGACGTCCAATCGAAATTAAGACCTTCGCTGAATGGCGCAATCAGTTATGGCCGAAGAGGAGGATATGGTCAGAGAATGGAGTGAGGAGAGAGGAGTGAGGAGCCAGGAGGAGGATTCCCAGAGCCTGGCTAATATGCATGTTTGTCGCAGCTGCTCCACATGCATGCCAAAGCAATAAATATCCCGATGGGAAAATCTCCAATAACGCAATAACTACCAATATCGGAACGCAGTGCGTCCACCTCAAAGTGGGTGGCTAATAGCCCCTCCCCACCTTCCCCCTCCGCCGTGTATCTGCCCGTATCTGTCGTATGGTAGGCTTACAAAGTAACTAAATGTGTTTTCAAATGCCCAAGCCCACAGAAAAAGGGAAGTGTGCGGAAAAAATGCGATGCGTGAAACCGCAGCTGCTGTTCCCAGCAATTCAGGCAGCCACTCCAAACCCCCAAAAAACATCGCCGCCACTCACCCGGGATTCATGGTTATGAATATGGAACAAGTCGGATCCAGTTTGAGCATGGTATCCTCGAAAAAGAATTTCACAACCTTGCGTCCAATAGCCCGCTGGATGGTCAGTATCTGTTGGGCCACCACGGAGAGCACCTCCAGCTCGATGCGATTGAACTCGTCGAAGCAGGCCCAAGCGCCCGATTGTGCCAAGCCCTGCAAAGAATCCGTAGAAATGGGGATGAGTATGGTAGTAATGGTAGTTTGGTAGTATGGCAGTATGGTAGTAGAAGCAGTCAAAACAGCACACACAGTGTACGGTGGAGTACAATCCCGAAAAGGGCTGCAAAAAAATGGCACACACAAATAGAAACAGAAATTCCTGGACAAGAGTGCTGGTGCTGGGGAAATACACACCCGTTCGATGGGGGAAAAGTGAAAAAAGCAAACAGCAGCATAAACATTATTTTCTCTTTCTCATGGCTCGGTTTCCGTTTTCAGGATCTGGGGGGCATGGGGTTCAATATGGTTGGCTATGGGACGACCCTTTGATATGCTTCCTTTTGCATGTTGCAATAAATATGCTGTTTTATCCCAGCTGGAAACCTGCACATCCCCCCATTTACCCACTTTCACCCACCACCCGGAGCATCAGAAATAGCGAACTGACCTGGCTGCAAGTGCCATACGCCATACGCTATATGCCGGGATATATGCCGGAGTGGGCGTGGCAGGTCGGAATCTATCAGTGATATGTCCCTGTGAGCTGCCCGTTGGCCGTGCACCAGAGTTTCACCAGTTAGTTCCCAAGAAAAGGTTCGAGTTTCCTTTAATTAGGGAAATCGTTTGTGTACGACTGCTGCAGCAAATGTGAACAAATTTAACGAACTGTTTGATTCGGTATTGCTTTCACTTTAAGTATGGAAAAACATGAATATTCTGTAAGAGTCCTGAATTTATGTCATTAAACAGAAAGAAAATATTATATTACTTTAGTGAAAATAAGACTTTAAAAAATAAGAAGGAAGAGATACATTTATATCTTTGATTTCACTAAAAATGGAAATAAAATATTATATAATTTAAAATATATATAATTTTGTAACAATTGAATCTGTTCATTTAATTTAACAAAAAAATCAGGTATTGTTTAAGGCAAGATGAGGACCGAGAGAATGAATTGGGTCAAAATAGTTAACAAACTGGATTAAGAACACTAAAACTGCAAAAAAGTTTGAGACAATAAAAACTTAGATATAAATACATATAATTATTTAGACATAAAACAAGTTGACATACACATAAATGCATGAAATTAAGTGTTTATAATTTCTTTGTTTTATAAAGACTCCCCAAGAACCTGTTTAATAGGTTAATCAAACTAGTTATGCTATACCCAAAAAATAAGCACCATCGCCCATCAATAAAGGAACCTTTGGCCAGCTGTTGCTCCTCAACTTTCGCGGGGCATCCACTTGACCACCTCACAGGTGCCTGCACGGCAAGTTGGCAAGTGGCTTCTGTTGGTCCTGCCCCCAGGACATCCCGCCCATACTCCACACAAAGAGTTTACATTCTGTTGCGCGTTCGCACGCTTTTTGCAGTCACTGTTGTCCCTACACCCGATGCGGTTGTTGCTGCCGTTTCGCTTGGCCTGGCCATTGTACAATTAGCGCCTCTGTGCCACCGGTGGTGCAGTTGGTGTAGTTGGTGTAGCAGGTGTAGCTGGTGGCACAGGATGTGGAGCAGGATGTGGGGCAGGAGGTCCTGGAGGTGGAGCTGTTGTGTTAGGAGCTTGTTTGGCCAGAGCAACGCAACTGGACGGAGCACGGCAAAAAGGTGGCCGTTGCCTTTGCATACTTTGAACTCCATTGAGAGGGTTTTGGCGCCGATGGCAAGCTGCCAGAGATGGTTAGTATCTGGATAGCTATATATAGGTACCTCTACATAGGTATGTGTGTTCAGTATCTAGGATAATGGATAGCATGACCAAGAGTTATTTGTTAAGTAAAATTAATAGACCTCAATATCAGAGAAGTAAATAGATTTAAAATTCTATAATATTATTTTATATATAATTCATTAGAAATTATTTCTTCCTCCTTCCTAATATTTTCCTTAACAAATTCACAAAAATGAGATTACTAGAATTAAAATAAATTAAAAAAATTGAGTTTCATTACTTACATGAATAAAATATGCTTAAATAATAAAGTTTTGGCCCCTTTAAACACAGATTCTTAAATTTCTTAGACACTTCAGTAAACAATTAATAGTTAGGTAATATTAAAAACTGTAAGCCATAACAACAATCATACTTTGTAAGACATTTTTGCATTTTTGGTTATGTTTTAGCTAGCATTTTTGAGTATAGCTACCCATAAAGTACCTTTACTAACTATAAAAAAATTGTACAAAATGGAATGGGTCATCACAAAAGCTAGCCCAGAAACGATGCCATTCTACTGCGACTGCGATAACTTTTTACCAGCTACTGGATACACCTTTTGTTCGGTGTTCGGCAGCCATTGTTGTGGCAATTTTATTTGCATTTAATTTATTTACGATTACTTCTGGATCGGGCAGAAATTGCTCTGGCATATTTCGCATACTTTGTCAATTGCAAATTATTTTATTGTCGCCACATTGTTTCCCAGACATTCCCAGCCCGGCAACTAAGTAGAAATCAAACCGCACCGAATCCCAAAACTGGTGGAGTGGGAGGGCATCGTGTGCTGGAGATTTTCGACTTCCTAGAGATTATTAGAACAAATGCCAATCCAGTTGGTGACAAAGCGCAGAGCGTAGAACGACTTTCTAAAACTCGACTTCAAACGCAGACGCAGAGACCCAAATTAAGCAATAAAACGAATAAACAAATGTCCAAACTCAAGTGGATCCCAATCGCATAAATTCATTAATTTAAATTGAGCATCGCGATGGCAATTTATGGGCTCTCCTCCATCGACGCAACTAAACCAAACTAAACTTGCCTGGTCGGGTTGAAGTGGAAGTTGTCGACGAATATTAATACAAATCCCATGCAAATGAACAAGAACTCAACTCTAGGTGATCACTTTTGCCACATCCTCTCATCGAATGGCTCCCGTGTTTATGGCCTCACCTCAGCTCACCTCTTGTTTGGTTTTAGGGGCTTAGGAACTATTATGCAATTAGCCGTGTGAGCGTATTATGCGATTAGAGCCTATGGCAGCATAAATTTTACTACAAGATTTCGGCACCCACTTAAGATGTGCGTGTTTTATGGGAAGTGGGGGAGTGCTATGTCCAGGAGGCAACGGTTAACGACCTGCAAATAAAAATTTGCATAAACTTAAGTGGCGGCGCACGAAAGGAAGGGCAGGATGGCCGGCCATTACTTTCGCAAACTGGCTAATTAGTCAACAAGCCAGGGGAAAACACGATTATCCCGAGAGCTGCATAAATTTCAATAAACATATACTATAATACTAAGAGAGTGGGGAATTGGAAGGGCGCTTCGAAAGTCGGCTCCAGTGTGTCTGACATTAGCCCAATTAACTATGCTCGTGCGGTATTGAAAGTCACGATTGTTGCGTGTGCCGCCGCATCAAGACGAGTTCTTTGCCTGATTAATGTGCTCCACTCGACTCGGCTACTCTGTTTTCGTGGGGGGGCCATCAATTAGAAAGCAGTCGAGCAGCAAATCGCAGACAGAGCGACGCTCTGATGTGGAATCTAGAATACATCTCTGTATCTGAAAGGGGAAGGCTGGCTAGCTCACCTTGAAGAACTTGCCCAGCGCCTTGTAGTCCAGTCCGTCGGAGCAGTTGAAGACGACGCACTTCTTGGCCACCGCCTTGGCCAGATCCTTGCAGGTCTCGGTCTTTCCCGTTCCCGCAGGTCCTTCGGGAGCTCCGCCCAAACACAACTTCAGGGCGCCCATCAATGTGCTGCATTACAATCGAGAATTAGAGAAATAATGGTTTCTTTTTAGCACACAGTAGCAACAAAGAGTTGATGGATGGGTAGGGCAAATGGTGTGGGCACGCTTTTAATATCTATTTGGTATTTTTTCTCATTTTTAACGGCGGCAACAGCTTAAAAAAACAGCCATTTATGGCTGTTATTCCTGACCCAAATAGATGCTTTACGGTATTTGGGTATATGTACAAGGCTAAATGGTTGGTAATAGCATTAAAAACTTTACTAATATTCGACATATTTAAAGTTTGAAATAATAAACAACATTTGTGAGCTTAACTTGAAAGAAATTAATAATTTCCATTACAATACTTATTAAGAAATAAGATTGAAAGACATTTTAGCAGCACCAGCTAATAGTTTTTAAAATACTAAAATTGATTTTTTTCAAATCCATTCCCCTTGTTACATATTTATAATTCAAAATATTAAACAACATTCTTAGCTTAATTTTATAACATTAAATAAACTAGTAAATTTCAACAAAGTTCCTATAAAGAAATTAGGTTAAAAGACATTTCAGAAGCACCAGCAAATATTTTACAAAATAATCAATTTAAACTATATTTTCTTCAAATAAATCCCGCTTGTTACATATTTGAGTATACTTCTTCGTTCGACTAACCACCTACGAATATCATTTCATAAATTGCTCATTTTTGCCGTTTGTTTTGCAAGTTCATATTTTTATCATATTGGCAGTGTCCCCACTTTTGTTGCTTGTGCATATATTTTTTAGCTTTTCCGGCATAACCATACAAAATATCTCTATACACTTGGTTACATTTTTTGTTTGTCTGTTTTCCTGCCTTTTTTTTTTTGTTAACTATCCATGCATGGGTGTGAGTGTTAGTGTGTGTGTGTGTGTGTGTGTGTGTGTGTGAAAAACTGTCCAACATTGATTTATTTGTTTAATATAAAAGTTTTATCGGAAACCCCATTAAAATGTCCTTTCTGCCGGCTTGCCAACGACAACCGGCCTGCCAGCCTGCTGCCAGTTTGTGTGTCCTTCCTTTGGTCCTGAATATGCCCTCGTTGTTGTTGTTGTATTATTGTGTGTTTGTCGTAGGCAGCTTAAACATCAAAAAGGTTTTCAGCTCTTTTTGCGTATTTTGTTTCGAAAAATGAAAATAAATTTAAAATGCACCGAAATAAAATAAATATTTTCCCAATAAACGTGGCTGGTTTCTCGTCTGACTTTTAGATGCCTACAGTATGCGAAGGGTTGTGTGGTCTTTGCCAACGGTTTGTCAATTAATATTTTCGATATTCATACAGGGGTCAGGTGCGGAGTTTGGGTTTGTGGGATTTGTGTAAGATATATATTATATTAATATATATAGTGTACCCACCGGTAGCAGCGATCTGTGAGGGGAGTCACCACCAAACGAGGCAGATTCCCCAGGTATTCCATGCCATATTCAACATCTGTGACCACCATGCTAACGCACACCCAATCCTCGTTTTCTGGGGAACATTCGGGGATTTATAGTTGTGGTCTTTGAAAGCAAAATATAAAAAATTAAGCCTCAAAGTAAACTTACTGTCGTTGACCTTCCAGTAGTAACGCAGCTGGGAAATCCAATCAAAGTCCTGTATGTTGGAGACCTTGCAATCTGTCAGGTATTTTACCACATCGCGGTCTGGAAAAAAATTATACATAAAATGGGTTACATCAAATACAATAAGATATTAAGAGAACAGATTTTATTTCTTCTGTATATGCTCATTCACTCATTTATTTATGTTAGGATTTTCACTGTCATTTAGGATTTTTAAGAGCCAAACATATATTTTAAGTTGTTATCAAAATAACATAACCAACTATATTTAATACAATTTCAAAATTAATAAAAAGTATTTTAGGCAGGTTAAATAAACAATAGGAAAATATTAAGTGTATAGAATTTAAGTAAGGTTTTATTTAAGACTTTATAAAGTGTCAAACCTATAATTGTAATTATTATCGCAATGTTGGCTTTAGTTTCCTACAAAAAAACGAAAATGCCAGCAAATAAAAGGTAATCAAATTAATTTAAAATTTAGTACATAACATAAAAAATGTAAATGCTCAAACCGGATCTCTTGCGGTTTTGGTTTTGGTTTGAACATTATTAAATTATGTAAAGGTGTTTGGTTTTGCGGTTTGGTTAAAGAGCGTTAAAATATGGTTAATTCAACTTATTGTTCTTTTGCAGCATTATATCCCCACTCACCGTGCACATCCAGGACAATCAGTGCCTCGACGGCAATCCGGACTCCAGCTTGCAGATCCGTGCGCACCAATTGCACCAGGTCGGCAATCTGTAGATTGGACTTCTCCAAATAAGCCGGCAGCTCCTTCGTCTCGATGGCCTCCTCCACCTGCCGGAAAAATGGCGAGAAAAAGCATAAAGTGGCTTTGAAACTGCAGCGAGGCGAAAGCAAATAAAGAGCGAAATATGGTTTTCAATTTCGCCGCTTTGCCGAACCCGGAAAAACTTCTCTCAAAGTCAAAGCCCAAAAGAGAAGCGCCCACAAAAGGATGAAGTCGCTGGGAAAGATGGAGGAGGTTTGGGGTAATCTCACTGTCAGCAACACTGAGGGCTTTCCTCTGACAGTCAGCCAGGATGATGGACATTTGTTGGCCCACAACGTCCTCCTTGCGGTTATCGCGGTTTTGGTGCCAACTCACCTCGTAGGTCCAGGCCATGCAGGAGATGCCCTGCACCACCTGGCCGGGCCAACTGACCACCCAGGAGATGCGCTCCACCATGGCGTAGTCCTCCCAGGCCTCGCGCATCTGCTCCTTCACGCTGTCCAGCATCACCATCTCCACCTCCTTGAGCCACATCTCCACCAGACCCTATCAAGCGGAGGTTAATCGTTTAGGGGATTACCCCACTGTTAAGAGCAGGTCACTCACATTGGCCAACTGCGGGTTAATTTTGCGCACCAGGGCCACACGCTCCTCTTCGTCACTAACCATCTCGATGATCTCCATGTTGTCGTCAAAGGTCAGACTGCCAATCTGTGGGGAAATCATTATGGCATTGCATTTGTTCACACAGTTTGGAATTAGTTTTTCCAAGGCTTCAGGTATTAAAAACAAAGCAATGGAAAAATGGTGCGAAAAACCTCTTCTGTCTATAGGTAAATACAAGATTTAAGTGTGTTTCCAACAAGATGTTTTCAGTTTCTTTGAGAATATTCCATTTAATTTATAAACTTATAACTTTTCCCAATGCAGTAGCAAAAACATTTAAATAAAAACATTTAAATAAAACTTTGAATATATACTGAACTTAATTTATAAGTATAATTTTCTAAGGCTCTAAGGCGATTTAATAGCACTTGAAAAAAATAGTATCGTTGAGTACAGCACAAGATTTAATAAAAAGTCAATTAAATATATTATTTTCCATAGAATTTAAGATTTGAGTAAGTTAAGATAAATAATAATACATTTCTTTAAAAGTGTTCCAGTACATTTACTTATATCATATAACTTGCAAAAAAAATATAGAAAATAAACTACAATAATAAAGTAAATGATAGTTGATTTCATTGATTATATAATAGAAAACTTATAATTTTAAAAATTAAAAGCCGAAATATTTATTAAAAATAAAAAGAATAAACTCACTCCTTCAAAACACTTCCTCAAGTGGGGCTGCACTCGCATTGGATCTTTGGTCTCCGACAGAATCTCCAACAGCTCGTCATTGGATAAAAAGAAGAAACGCGCAAAGAAGAGACGCTTCTGCTCCAGATATGTGTTCAGACCCTTGGTCACCGTTTCCAAATCCTCGATGGCCTTTGTGAAGACCTCCAACATGTCCGGATATTCAGTGGCTGCCATCACATGACGATCCTTCAGGGTGTTCTTCATGATCTTACGCCACAACTTGTCCACCGCCTTGAAGTTTCGACCCTCGAGCGGCATTTGCCGCATGATGTCCTCGCTGCTGAAGATCGGCTCCAGGTACATCCAGGTGATCTGCACCTGTGTCCAGGCATCGATGATATTCTGGATGAGGAGAAGCCGTGCCTCCCAGTCATCCGCTTTGGAACCGAGTGCCGTGATGAAGGGCGATCGCTTCATGGCCTGCGTTCGCATTATGTGATCGTCTAGGAGCGTCTGAATATCATCCAGGCTGGCCAGGATGTGCGTGTCCGAGTCGCGGTACTGCAGCACCTCGAACATCACGTCCTTCCAGTCCGCCTGCATGATCCTCAGTCCATTGTTCAGATCGTATTCCTTGCCAGCGGCATTGGCTATCTCCTCCAACTGCGGCAGGATGCTCATGATGTCCACATCGATCATGTCCTTGAGGGTGGGGAACAGCTTGGGGTTGACCTTGCGACCCAGGATCTTCGAGATCTGATCCCAATGCCGCTTCTCCAATCCATGGCGACAAATGGAGTCCAGAACTGGCAGATACACACGGAACTTCTCAATCTTCATGCGCATTTGCTCGGCAGCTCTTTTGGCCACTGGATTGTAGGCCAACTGACGGGACAACTTGTACATTATCTGGAGAAAAAAGCGAAATTAGGGCTTAGTCTGGGTCATATAGCAAACGGATAAGAGCCAAAGACACTCTAAGACACTGAAAAAAGCTTCTAGTTTCTAGGCAATAAACTTAATGAATTGGGACGACCAGGTTTAATACCTTTTTTCTTTCTTTCTTCATTTGAAAGTAGATTTTGAAATGTATATTTGTATATTTTAGAACCGTCTGGATGGATATATTATTAACAAAACGTTTTATGCAAGAAAAAACTTTAATAAATTCAAAGATAAAATGTCAGATACAAGATTTTTGGATACTGAAGCATTTCCTGATACTAAACAAATCTATCATGTCCTCTTTGAAATCGTTATTAGTTTATTTAGTTTTTGTTAAAAAAAAAGTAGATAGAAAGGTTTTTTTCTATAGCCCACAGTTACAATATTTGAAATTACTATTTATTTACTATTTAAAATCACTTGCTTCTTGTTTATGCCTTAAAAGTGTACGAATTTATTTTTAAAAGAATTTTTAGTTAAAAGTTCGCAATCTGTGGACCAGATATGAAGTTTTAAGTAATTCGATTTCACTAGGGTATTCGAGGCTTCGTCGTCGGATTGTTTCGTTCATTTTTTTGAGTCCCACTTTGCCGCTTCAGCTGTGTCGAAAAATTCAATTCAACTGACTTTCCTTTTGCGCCTTTGAGCAGCTTTTTTGCGTGGCTCCTCCGAACGGCTTCCCAGCTGACCCCGGAGGGGTTGGGCTTGGGCTTGGGGTCACCTCTGCCCCTCGCCCCCAAATCCGGACAATGCCCCGGACTGCCCAACTACCCATCTTATGGCCAGCTAGCCGCCAAATATGTTGGGCATTTTTTCCATGCATACTTTTCGGCTGCCAAGTGGAACTTTCTTTTTACAGCCAGTTGTGCTGGCTTGTTGGGGCTTGTCCCTTGCTGACTGATGGCTTCTATTGCTGCCATTGCTGCCCTAGGTGGCTTGAGGTTTTTAGTTGCATTTTAGTTGCTACATTGGCTTACAGACGGACACGGCAGATGGATGGACGGCGGGACACAAAGGACAAAGGGAAGGGAGCTACGAAGGACGATGGAAGGAACCCATGCATGGGCAGTTGAGCAGGAGAAATCCGACAACAGCTCAAACTTTGTCGGTCGTTGCTCGTTTTTATTTCCGCCAGCTACTGGGAGCTATTGGGAGCTACTGAAGCTACTGCTGGAATGACAACTTCCGACTTTGCAACTACTTACCTTGTGCATATTCTCCACTTGCTCCCGCACGCCATCCGCATTAAGGCATTCGAATCGCTCGAACATCCTGAAAGCACCAGAAGAGATGTAAATAGAAATACACGAAAAACGGAGTTGTTTGGGGGATAGTGTCTTTGCAGGAGGATGAGCAGTGTCCTAGTGTGTCCTCATCATAAGCGCCAGCTTTCTGCTGGAATTCACCCGGCGGGGTTGTGGGAATTGAGTGAGGGCCACTACGATTGGTATTGGGATTTGCGTGCAGCAATGTCAATGGAAATGACGACCGGGCTGGGGCCATTTCAATTCGGAATATTACGGGCCCCAGGAAGTGTGACACACTCATATACTGCCCCCCTCCCCCTCCCCCGATGGCTGACAGAAGTATAATTGCAATGGGCTTAAACGTCCCAGCTTACCAAATGAGATAATCCTTCTCGAACTCGTACGAGGTCTTCCACAGCTTCTCGATGGGCTCCATTTTCTCGATGATCTCGGCTAGCAAAGGAAATGCGGAGACGTCGATTTGCAGTAGAGTCTCCTCTGTATTAATTGCCTTGGCCTCACGACTGAGATTCTAAGGGGTAAAGTTGGGAATCAATATAATATTCAATGGATAAAACTTGATACTGTAGCGCAAAATTCCATTTAATTCAGAACATTAATTAAAAAATGTTATACAGACTTAGGATAAATCAAAATTTGATCAGCATCGAACCATATTTGTATTTTTAAAATTGCAATTGCCTAGCTAAACATTAAAATGTATTCTATCAGTGTGGAAGAACATGAGAAGCTTAAAAGCCTAAAAGGTTTTTAATTAATTACTGAAAATAGTGTGGAAAACTATAGATGTGGATATAAATCTTGATTTCCATTTAATTTAAAATGTTTAATTCGGAAAAAATATTCAAGAAATTTATTAAAGGGCTTAAATAAATAAAAATTGCTAGTTTATATATTATTTTTTCTTCTTATACTAAGGATACCAATTAAGTGAGCAAGTATGCATTTAAACTCCATTTAATTTAAAGCATTTAGTTCAAAGAAAATATTAAAGAAATTTAATAAACGATTAAAGTAAATAAAAAATGGTAGTTTAAATTTTATGTTCGCTTCTCAAACCTCATATAGGGTGATTTAATGCCACTTTTCAAGCTCTCAACCATCAACCACATCGAATCAGACCCAATCTAGTAAGTAAATAGCAGCAAAGTAGAGCTAATCCCTCACCTCGATGGTGGTGAAGAGTAAATCGACCGTATCCACCCGCTCCTTGAGCTCCTCCAGCGTGAGCACATCCCGGATTTCCCGGATGCGAAAGCCGTCCATCGTTCGCTTTTCCTGGGCCAGCAGCTTCTCGAACTCCATGCGCCGCTCCCTGCGAGGGATGTGGATGTGCATGTGGATGTCGGCTTAGTATCTGGGATCTGTTCGGGATCAGGGTCTAATCGGCATTTCACTCACCGCAAGGCCAGCTCCAGATTATCACGCACCACGGCCAAGCGGGCGGCACTCAGATCCAGGACCTCCTCCAGTTCCCCGGGCAGGATGAATGTGCGCGAGTTGAGGTGGAGTTCATCGCCTGCGAAAGTGAGACCAAGATTGGATTGACTGGATGACTCTCGATGGTGCTCCTCTACAGCCAGCTGCTGCTAATTAACTGCGCTTAACTCTTAATTAATTGGCTGCGCCAGAGCCTTTCTTTTATTTGGGGACAAACTAATTAATTATTCGAGTAGGTACGAGTATCTTTGGCCCTGACAAGCTGTATCCGTGAGTATTTGGTGTGACAAAGCCACACATTCGGACGGCAGGCATACGGACAGACAGACAGTCAGACAGACATACAGCGAGACAGCGAGACATTCAGCCAGATTCAGCCACAGAATCCAGCGGGAGTGAAGTACACATTGTAGCTATACGAAAGATACACACGACACTTGACGATAACCGGCAGACAATTGTCTGCGTGGGTATATATGGATTATGTGCCATTTGTGTGTGTGTGTGGGTGTGTGTCTGCATTTGCCGGTTGTCAAAGCAACTTTCACACATTCATGAATTTGTTAAGCTCATTAAGTTGCATTTTCGGGGTTTTAGCGGAGCTCAATGTTTGGTGTCTCACCGCAAGTAATTATAAAACCAATTAGTAGACTCAGCTTGTTAGTTGAGGTTAATTATGTTAAGCGAAGCTGCACTTCCTGCCTTCCCTATCAGCCCATAACCTTCCGCATCACCTCTCCTTCCCAAAAGCCAAACACATCGCAAAGCAAACACACTAGATGCACTGAGGAAAAAATCGATATAAAATGAAGGAGTTGTTGGTATAAGTTTACATTAAAGGTTTCAAAAACAAGAGGTTACTCTCAAGTTGAGAATCACATACCTACTTACTTAGAGAAAATTTGTATACTTAAATATTTAATTAAGCTAAAATCTAAAATCATATAATTTGTATGATTAGGCTAAGACAGATATTAAATTTAATAACATCCAACATTTTTGATTTTTTATAAGAATCTAATAATGTTTTAATACTCTTAAATTATTTGATTTAGTTAGAATTTGCATCTGAACTCTAAGAAATTACAAAATATGTAGCAGCTTTAAGACACCTATAAAGAGTATTTAAAAGTCAAGAATATGTGAAGACGTGTAAAGCCTATTAAAGCAGGAATCCCATATCTGTTTCAGGATTCTACATATTACAATGATTTCTATCAAATGCCAAGGTTAGTCTACTAAAACCTGACCTTAAATTGCATTTTTCCCACAGTGTCTGGGATTTGGCCAGGATCGAAGGTGAAAGAGCTCGACGGCCAGCTGCAGTTGCACAAACACCGGAAAGGGCGAGGTACTGAGGACTGAGGACTGGGGAGTCCTGACCAAACCAATTGCATCACTACTCACTGGACAGGTAGGTGTGTGTCAGCAGGAAGACGACGCGCTTCAACACGTTCTTGATTTCATCCTTGATGGCGAATATGCGCATCTCCCGGCACTCGTTGATGTAATTCTGCAGGGCCACCACCTCGGGCGTTTCCTCCGGCCGTTCGCCGGCCTTCATGGACATCTCCTCCAGCTCCTCGCAGATGCTGAAGTGGCAGAAAAAATCCGGTAAAAAATCAGGCAACGTATGTACATACATATACATATAGTATATATATGGCGCAAAGTTATCTATTAAGTGGCATTGGGGGGCAGTCAGCATAAAAGTTAAGTGAAAGAGCTCTCGCACTTCATTTAGCTGATGCTGATATCGATGGCGATTGCGATGCAATCTGTTCTTGGCTACTTACGCCCGATTCTCGTTCCAATTGAGGGCTTTGTAAAAATCAATTATGAAATCGTAGATTTCGCGCACATACATCCGCAGCGAAAGCTTCACGTGCCGATTATCCAGCATGAACAGGTTGAGCGGAATGAAATCGCGCAGATAATAGGTCGTATCGCTCACGGCCTGCAATTTTTTCAACAGCTCCTGCACAACCTGAAAAACAGAGGTGTCACACCCAAAAAACAGGGGTTTTTGCAAAGAGGATTAATTAAAAATCGTTCAGGGGAAATTTTAATATTTTAAATAAAATTCCGCCATAACAAACTGATTAAATTAAGTCATTTGATATTTCTATTTCTTAAATTTTACATTTTTGAAATACCCTAAAAACCTGAATGCAATATTATAAACCCTGTAATTGAACTGTGGAGTCATTAACTATTTAATTGTGTAAATATATTTGGGAATTTCTATCATATTTAAAAATTTTTCTTTCTTTTTCTTTCTTTCTTTTCTTTTGTAAATGACATGTTTAAACATTTTAGTTTTAAGCTATTTTCTTGGCGAGAAATTCATAGGAATCCAGACCCTTTGTAACTCTATTTCATTTATTTAACATTATTGAATTAAACATCCATTTAAAAATAATATTCAATTACACTTAAAACAAGTATGCACCATAATTAACTCTTTAATTGGACTGCAAACATTTGTGGAGACATTATTTTTTAATTACTCAATTACATAAATGAACTAATGAATGATTTGTGTAAATATTTTTGGGAATTTGTTTCATACTATAAATTGGTTATCAATATTGACAAACGATTCTGTTTTATAAAACATTTGAAACTGACATATTTAAATATTTTAGTTTTAATTAATCACTGTAAACTTCGATTAAAATTTTTTTTTGGAAATTTAAAACCCAAACGATTGCATTCAGACTGCATCCTTTACAATCGCGATGCGCCACCACTGACCCACCAGTGGTGCATCGATGGTTGTCCGCACCACCGAGACGCACTCGCATTTCATGCATCGACAGGCAGTCGGAAGTAATTTTTATTTTATATAAATTGAGCAAAAAACCAAACCAAAAAAAAACCAAACAGAACGAATCGAATCGAGAGGAGAGGAAATTGCTGGTCGTTTCATAAAACTTAATGAATGCGAACTGCAGTTGCAGTTGAAGCGCAAATTGAGCGTATAATATACGTTTGGTAATTCACGGACTGTCTAAGTAGAGCGACATGCCAAAGTTTGTAAAATCAACAGGCTGGGAAGCCAAACAGCGACTAATTAAACATTGCACATAGCTAACAAACTGTCAGTAGTGAACAAGAGGCAGGCATTATAATCCGGATTCTGGATTCAGGATTCTGGATGCCGGATTCCGGCGAGGTGGAACTTGTCAAATTACACAAATTGCCAGCCACTTTCCAACTCCCAAACTCCCCTGTCAGTCGACTTGTCTGTCTGTCAGCAGTCTATTAATATTCCATAATGAAATTTTATGTTAATTCTACGCATCATTGCGTGTAATCAAATCGAAATAAATAATTAAATCCATTTCAGTACCAGCCTCGGGCAGAACCCGCTGATTGCCAAGAGGAGAGCCGAACTCACCCCAAGTTCCGGTAGGATGTTCTCTGTCCAGACCTTCTGCACCATGGGCATGATCAGCTTTTGGAACAAGCCGAAATAGTATTTGTAGATGGGCTTCAGGTACACATGCACTCCACGCCAGTTGACTTTGACTATTTGCTCGACTTTATCACAGAGCTCCAGAAAATCACTATGCTCTTCATCTATGTAATGCAGAAAACCTTGGGTCTCGTGTTCTATAAATAACTTTTAAATTAATAAATAATAAATTTAAATATATATAGATTTACTAACCACCGCCAGACATCACAAACTCAAGGCGGGGAATGTCATAGCCCACTGCCAGAATACTCTTGAAATGCTCCGTAAAAAGTCGTGGCAATTCCTGCATATAGGGGTATATATAAAGCTTGTTCGAGTGATCCAGCTCAAACTGAGCCACGTCATCAATGTCGGGAAACTGCAAAGGGTAGATAAAGAAAATACTTTCTTCTTTCAAACAATATTTATAGATATCTACATTCTCCGCAAATTGATTAGCTTGTGGCTGCTGGAAAGGATCCGCATCGTCCTCGTCATACACATATATATTGACTGAGGGTCGCACTCCAGGACCCATGTCGATGGGCTCGTGATCGAAGTGGGCCCCCACCACAGAGGCAATCAGAGTCATCAGCGGAATCCTCTTGAGCTTCGGATCGAACATGGAGTACTTGTCGATGCGGTTGCCCTCCTTGAAGGCACACAGCACCTTGAACAGGTAGTTGATGCTTTTGCTAATGAGGCTGTTCAGGTGTCGCGACATGGCGGAGTGGATGCAGCGGAAGAGGATGGCCGCCCGACCGCCATATTTGCCAGACATGGGCACCATATCCTTCCAAGTGCCACGCATTTCGTTCATGAGGTCAGCACAACGCGGCAGCCAATCGTTGAGAAGTAACTAAAGATTATAAAAATATATTAATATATATAAATTAGTAAAATAAGATGGAAGTTGAGTTCCCCGACTATTAGAAACTCATTACTCAGCTTATCAAATTCATAATAAATATGTCCCCGGAAAATAATCAAACGGACAGACAGAAGGACAAACAAACGGACATGGCTAGGTCAACTCGGCTATTGCTTTTCATCAAGAATATATATATATACTTTATAGGGTCGAAAATGCTTCTTCTTATTCTTCTTTTTAACAAATACAGTATACCTCTATATAATATATAATACTCACATCGCGAACATCGGCACAGCTCTTTTCGATGAAAACCTGTACAGTGTCCGCATCCAGGGGTCTTTGAGCCAGTAATAGCTGGGCGAGATCCACAACCACCAGATCCTCATACAGATCATGCCACAATCTATTCAGAGCCTGAACAGTGGGATGTGTGATCATGAGAACCTCGCCTATACGACTCTTGGCCCTCAGGAGATTGGATCGCCAGGGAACTGGCGGATATATGGTGAAGGTGGGAAATTCCGGCGGTTCCGGCTCCAGCTGCAGACGCTTTCTCTCCATATTGGATCTGTAAAATCAAGATGGGTAAACTGTGAAGCTAAATAAGAAGATAAAAGGCAGGAGATGACCCACGCTAAAAGGTAGTTCAAGAAGGTGCGCTTGACATGGTGCCGGAAATCCTCCTGGAGATCAATGAGGCACACGATGATGAGGATGGCCACATCCTGACGCACGCCACGGTCGCCCACGAACAGATAATCCATTAATATAACTTCTGGCGGCAGTTTGGGCCAATCTTTCTGTAATGAGTTGATTAGACACGATGGGCGGGGTGAAATGGGGACGACAGGTGGCCTAAACTTTGCTGCCGCTGCGGGGCGATTTCAACTAGTTTTGGGAGATAAGGCAAAGATTGGGGAAAAGGGGATTGTCTACGGAGCATTTTCGGCTGCTCATTAAGTCGCCGTTGCCGGCACTGATTTGCCGGTGCTGATGGCAAGTGCTTGGCTTAAGTCCCTGCCAAAGTTTCTTTGGCGCTCACGTCAAAACATCAACACGCGCCCCGTCACTTGTCATCCCAGTTGCCCCCCTAAAACTCCATCCCATACCCTCTAACACCCCACTTCATTTCTCATCCAATCCTAGGAGCATGTTTAATATGCTCGCACTGCCGGCAAACTTTTTCGGCGAAAACTTCCGCCAAACTCTGAGCCAGCCTCAGTTGAGCCCCCAGTTAAGTTTGCTAATAATGTCTACGCTATGTTGAGCCCGTAACTCCTTTAATATTAATCTGTGTTGCTAGCCTAGCTGTTTTTACTCTAACCATATTTTAAGTAGCTAATACTTACAACTGATGCACAAGGATTTTCAAGAAATTTAAAAAAAAACCTCTAATGCATTTAATTTTGTTTGCTTAACAAAAACAATTGTCCAGGATTGATATAGGTAGTTGTGGTTTATGGAAATAAAGTCATGTGGTTTTAGAAAATAAATGCCTCGAGTTATTTAAATGCTATTTAATTCCTTGCTGGTAAACGGCTGTGTTGACAGCAAAATTAAAATCAACAGTTAATTAAAAAATTTTTTCCTGGTTCTATGAACTATGATTTATAGAAGAAAATGTTTACACAAATTCACACTGGTAAAAAAAGGTACTCAACTTATGTGTATAGTTCGATTTGATTTTCATTCATTGCGGTTTAGTTATTACAAATAATTTTTGGAATTGATTTAAATATCTGAAAATGTAAATTAAATTTAAAATGTATTGAATTTGAAATCTACTAAATAATTTTGTCAGTGCCGAGCTGTCATGTTTATTTAGACAAAACATATATATATATTGTATGGCATCATGAAATTATCACTCGTGTATTTTAGTTAAGCCCAAGAGTCCCTACTTTATTATTATTAATAATATATATATATATTCAAAGCCAAGAACTCACCTCCTCTTTTAGTATGAATCGGTAGGCATCCTGGAGAAGGGCACTCCGTGGATCGATGCGTCGAAAGGCCTTTCGTATGAGGTGTGAAGGATACGTCGCCAGCTGCACTATGGACATCTGCATTTGGGAGAGGGATGGGTATAAGGATGCGCCATTAAATCGGGCGTGATTCACGCTAACGCCACACAAGCGGTTTCTCTTCATTTTTTTTTTAACAACTAATCACGTTATTCATAACTCTGACCACGCCCACGGACCATAATATTTACGAGGTATGAATTATATAATTTTTATAAGCACGTTTCTTTCCGAAGCCAACGCAGCTTAATTTACTCGCACGCTCACGCACACATGTTTACTTTGTATGGAAGTTTATTATTATCATTTTTTATGGACAGAGACACAGATATGGACACGGACATGGGCATGGACATGGGCATGGACATGGACACAGGAACAGGAACAGGAACAGGAGCAGGACACGGAGCAAAAGTCGGAGTCAACGATAAAATTTATTTACGCCCCCACGCTGGTGCTCACTTTTGATGGGTTTTTTATGGTCTCTCGGTCAGGGAGTCATTGCGGCTGGGTATTTGGCTTTCATTTCTCATACCGCCTTTTTTCGCTTAGCATATGTTTGGTCAGTTGCATAATTCAGAACTACGTAGTGGGACTCACACTCTTCAGCAAACACTGGTATCGCTTCTGCATCTTCAGAGGGAAAATCTTCTCGGCCTTGGCCACTTCCACTTGGTATTTCAGCAGCATCTGCCTTTTCTGGTCATCTGGATCCACCGGTTGCAAAGGTTGCATGTACGGGAAGTGGCTGCAAAAGAAAACATATATATCCACTAAATAAATCAGACTTTTTAAAATCATTTATTAGCTTTTTGAAGCAGACAAATAAAGACAATACTTGTCTTTACAGTCTTTACATTTTAAAGTTACTATTTTTTTTTAAATAATTGTACTTTTCTTCAGCTTTGTTAATTTACAAATTCTAAATATTTAAGAAATGTTTAATTATACTCACGTGGCTTCCATTTTCTTTAGACAGTGGAGAAACTCTTCATTGGTAGCAAAATCTTTGCGATGAATGCGACTTTTTCCCACACAACATTTCTTTTTTTTACTCTGAAAAGAAAATACATTTTAAAAGTGATTTTGCTAGCTCAAGGTTTTAAAAAAATCTAAAATTCGTTTGTTTGGATGCCAAAGACTTAGGCTAAGGCAGTTAAATTGGCAGTAAACACCCACCTGGAGAATGCCTACTGATTTGAGAATTTTCCTCGTTTTTTCCATACAATTCGGTGCATCAGGATACTTAATGAGTCCGTGGCCAACATTGTGTTCAGCTGCCTTTACAACGGGCTCGAGTAGCTCATCAATTATCTTGCCCACTCTCACTAACTCGTTGCGGCATTCTGTACGGAGAAATTAAATATATTTTAGGGACAAGATTATGTAGGGAAAAAAATTGTAATACATCGAACATCCCTAACGTAGGCCAATAAGTGCCAAATTGATTTAATCTTTGGCCAATAAAACTAATTTGACTAGTCTACATAAAACACTTCGATATACAAAGAAATTTCAAGTTTGTATTATTTTATCACATTTAGTTGTTTAAAATATTTATAAATATAATATATTCCTATTTAACTGGATTTAAACCAATATTGCCTTACCCTGTGGCGTTCGGAATGCATAATGATCGCCGGCCGTGAATTTCTCCTTTTTGACTTGTGGGTTTATGTTGTTCACCCGCATGTGCCGAGCGGAGGGCGTTCTGTAGGCTCCAATCAGCTCCGAAGGTGATCCGTGGAGACGCCTCAGCTGATTTGTCCACAGGGATGAACTGGTCCCACAGCCCGGATAGAAAATTCGCACTCTCCGATTGCAGTAGATTTCCAGGAGCTGGCTGGTCATCTCGTAGATTTCCTGTTCACTGGGTCGCACTGACGCAAGCGCGTTGGGGGTAGGGGGGTGTCAAATTTTTAATAATGCACACTGAATAAATATGAACGCTTATTTATTACCGCCAGTCATCCATTTGTCAATCCAGGGAAATTGATTACAAGCTGCAAGCGAAAAAATAAAACAAACCAAACGTGGAAAAAATGAAATTGAAAATCGCATTTAATATTTGCCCACGAATATGACATGGGTCTGTCTGCACTTTTCAAATTTGATTTTTCCCCTTTATTTCGCTCTTTTTTCCGTGACTTTTGCCGCGCCTGAAAGGCAGCGCAAATAGGTTTGTTTGTGCAACATGAAATTGTTTTAAATAAAAGTCACGGCGGCAGAGAGTTCGATTTTTAACTGATTAAACTGGAATTAATTTCCATTTCGGGCCTTTACAAACGGAATTCCCCCGGCGCTGAGTGGGCATCTCTGGCTATCTGTGGCCACGGCATTTCATGGGTTTCATTGGTTTGTTTGTCGCATTCGCATGCTAATAACGCTATCGAAAAACACGCTGTTGTGCTATTGTGTAACCGGATCCCTTATTAGACAACAACACCCACTGGGATGGCGCTTCCATTCTGACATTAAATATTAAAAAACTAGACACAAAAACGAAACATTTTTATTACAAACTAGCGACAGAGGCGGGGCTGAAGGGGGGAAAGGTTTTTGTGGGTATAAACGTCGGCGGGCTGCTCTTTTCTATTAAGGATTATGTTAAGCATTGTTTTTTTCAAACAAATAACTTATTTATTTTTAAAGAAATATTTTAAGTATGAAAAGAGAATAAAGAGATTTAGAGATATGAACTTAAATAAAGTTCAAATAACCGAATGTTCTATTATATTAATGCTTTCCAAATTATAAAGAGTTCGTAAGAAACACCTACCGGTTTTTTATATATTTATTTTTACAGCACATGCATAATTTAGGGACATTTATTAAGGACAAGTTAATTTCACCGTACATTTTGAAGAGTATTCAACTAAAAAAAACGGAAACATAAAAATGTTCCATGTAAATGCTAAATAAAACACTATGATAAACATGTTGTAGAGTCACTCGACCTGCTCTTCGTCCTTTCCCAACTCCACCCCCTCCCCTGCTTCACCGCCCCTTCACCCCCTGAGTGCCCTGCACTCCCAAAGGATATTCAAATAAATGTCATACGCATTTGTTTTTCGGTTTTACCTTTTTTTCTCATTTCGGTTATAAAATTTTATGTTAAAAGGATAATGTTTGGAATTTTTATGTTTACAGGTGAACAATTTTCCAGCGCGCTGCGCTGTGGGAGCCGGGAAAATGGGGTAGCTGCCAAGAAGAACTTGGGGAGTTGGGCGAGGGCATGTTTTCGCATTTAATAAAGTATTAAGTGTTATGTTTTTGCGGTAAAGTTCTCACTCATTGAATAACACGAAATGTGTGGCAATTTGTTTGGGCCTAACCCCATGCCCTGAAACCTGAAACCTGGAACCTGGGATAATGCGCAAATGTTGTTCCACTTAATTGTCAGACGTGGCTGTGGTTTTTACCCCTACTTACCCGTGGAATCAAAGTTGTACGTATGATCCTTGGCATCGCGCAGCATCTCGAACTGCTCGGGCATCATGATGTCCTCCAGTTGCAGTTCCCGCAGGCTGTCATCATCGCACTCATCATAGTACTCTTTAACGTTATCCAAATCGTATGTGTGGAAATCAAACTCCCGGTTGCAGCTGCCCAAAATTTTGTCCGTCTGCATGTGGGCTTTGGGTAAATTATAGTTTAAAGCTTAGTTATTTGACCACAATAGAGGACACTCACATATCTTTTCCTGTAGAAACTCCTTAACAGGATCCAGGGGCAGCTGGTCGAAGCCATATTTGAGGTTGAAGAAGGGGCAGTCGTTCAGCTGCCGCTTTTCTCCCTTTTTCTGAGCCTGCGAAACCCTTGGCAGATGCAGCGTTCTCCTTCTCCTCAACTTATCGTCCTGCAGCCGAGGATCGCAGTAGGGACGTCGCTCGGGAGCCAGCTTCTTCTGCATTTTGAGGACATGGACTGGTCGCTGTGTGGGTGAGTGTGTGTGTGTGTGTATCTGAGATCCCTCCTTCGATGTTCGGTTTGCTAACCAATCGTATTCAAAGCCAACACAACGAAACACGATTTTCAGTCAGATTTCATTTGTTTCACTCTGTGCGGAGCATACTTTTCTCTCGTCCAGAAAATAGAAAATAGGAAAGCAAAACCAACAGCTCGGATGGCAAAAGTTTGCACAGCAGCAGCAGCAGCAGCAGCAGTAGTAGGAGCAGCAGCGAAATATTTGCGGGCCAGCGATGAACGTGAAATGTTTACAAACAAAGTCGAGGCCCAGGCAATGGGCATGGCCATGGCCATGGCAACGGAGGGTCCGGGGCCAGGAACCCCTGAAACCCGGGGAACACGGAAAGCAGGGGCACACGTGTAACCCCGGCAACCAGGACCGCCTGCAAAAGCCGCTACTGGAGCTGCAGATACCCCGACACTCCGTCAACGCTCGCCTTTCAACGTCCTCCGCTTGCACTGCTCAATAATATTTGATATTTGTGTCTGGCAACGGGATGGCTTCTTATTGCTCCAACTGCAGTCACACGGATAAAAATACTGTATAAGAAGGTTACAATACTTGTACGCAGGTACTTTATTTTCATGAGGTTTATAAAAAAAAAAAAAAATTCCGATACATAATCGATAAATACTAGGATTGCCTTGCTTCGTTCTAAGGAAAATTGATTAAATAATTATAAATCAAGCACATTGCCATGAACCTAATGCCTTTGTTTAAGGCTCAAGCAACCAGGCAAATAATTACAAAATTTTAAAGTCCTTCCATATTTGTATTGGGAAGCCTATACAAAACACTGTGTGGAATCAATGTCTTTGTTTTGGGATCAAGTAAACTGTGTATGTGAGCCGAATAAGAAGTAATTTTAAACAAAGCAGTTTCCGGACACTGCAGTGAAAGTAAATCCTTAAAGATTATAAATCAAAGTTCAAGGCTTTGAAATTTATAGCAAATTAAGCTAAAAGCGAAAAATTTATATTTTCCTGTTTTTAAAGATTGTGTTTCGCTTTAGTAATGGGTACTAAGAAGTATTTATCTTCATTCACGATTTTCTATTTAAGCAATTTAATAAACTTTCAAAGCCCAATGACCAAATAAAATGTGTTAGCCGAAAATATACCTTTGATCTAATATTTTCTCAAAGTGTCGAGCATGGCAGACGGAGCAGGCAGGTAACGCGGCAGCTTTTCTCGAATTGTGCACACATTTTTCAATAAAGCGCTGCAGCTGCAGAAAAGCTGGTCCTAGTGTTGCTCCTGTCGCTGCCACTGGCATTCTGTGTGTGTATTTATTATCCCATCTGTCTGGCAAAAGGAGCAACACAACAGTCGTCATTGAACCTGATGATATGTTGACAATGATGGAAAATAATAATACTCGAGCGGAGTACAGAGCTACCCAATAGGGTTGCAGCTCAACGGGGAATCCCATCCATAATCATGAGCCGATTTTGCCACTGCATTCTGGCCACTAAAGGAATGGGCTTTAAGTTGGACCCCATCTTCCACTGGTTTGGAAAGCTTGAATCTGCAATTAGCGCAACAATTAATTGTGGCAAATTAATTGGAAATTTGATTAATGGACAATTGTGGTCGCCTTACCTTTGTGGCAAAGGCATTCAACTCTGACCAACTTTGAGGGCGCAGCAAATGCGGTTGTTAGAGCCATCGTGTGTGCGTGTGTGTTCTTTCGAGGTGACAAGTCGTGGGAATTGCCAGGCAGGCGAAACCATTATCGGAGTTGGGAAAACAGGATCCAGTCCAGGATTCAGGTCATCCGCCTGTCACGTGCCTAAGCGCCCTGACCCCAAAACGCAATGCAGGTGCCAACGACAGGTCCTCTTGCGGACTGGATCCCTTCCAGCTGCAGTGCATCCGAAGCCATGCGTGACAAATATTTATTAACTGCCACCACAGCGGGCAGCGGCTTATGGGATTGATCTGCGGATCAGGGAGCTAATATAAAATTGAATTCGACTCCGTCAATTGTCACAAATAATGATTACCACGCATTTTCGACTCCATGACACGCATCAAATTGCATTTAGTTCGTCATTGGAGGAGGGGTGGAGGTAGGGGTACGGAACTTGGGCTTTTGGCAAACAAAGGACCGTAATGCGACGGCTGTCAGTCACGTGACCTCATTGCTGAAAACACACAAAGGGGAGGGACAACATCATTATTAACGAAGTCAACGAGCAGCAACAAAAGTCCGGAGCAGCATCGCTTCCAGCCTGTGAGTATGCAACACTTTTCACCGGAACGGAAATAAGTCGAATCCAATCATACCCTAAGAAGCTTAACTTCCAGGGCATGTGTGTGCGAGGCATCAGTTTCTGGAGTGTGAGGCAGTATGAAATTGGATATGCGTTTGCCTCAATACACAAGAAGGAATAAATCTTGGTGGAAGAGCGGCAAATAAATCACTGACACAGCGTCAGTAAACGGAAAATATGAAATCTTTCCATTGGCACTTTAAGAATATAAAATAAAGGCTTTGCTTCAACATAAAACTATTCTGAATTATCAAGTTGCTTATGATTTGTATTTTAAATTTTTTATAATTTATTTCAAGACGAAATTTTTTGATTCTATTCCAAATAATACAAAAAGTTATTTTCAGTTAGTAAAATCTAGTAAACGTAAAAATCTTATTTTCACTTCTTTTAAAAATATTTATGACTAAAAAGGCGTATTAAAAAAATAAATAATGTAGAAATCAAATTGAATTCTTGAACAATAACCTGATAGTTTTCGTATTTTTCGTACATTGTTGCAAAAATAGATTGGGTTTTTGTTACTAGCTTAACATGATGACATTTCATTATTCATATATTTTGTTAGCATTGATCAAAATCTCGGTATCTAAACTTTAAATAAAAATACGCATTACAAAATGTTTAAAGACTCTGTACAACTCTTTTGATAGGGTATAATTAAAGAACTGCCTCGTCAAGGCAAAGTTTTGCTCGTTCTTTTTTGCCCACTCTCTGTTTCCCCATTGTTTATTTGCCTCGATTCTGTATTTTTTTCCGTTTTCTGCCATGGCGAATCGCATTTTGTCCACGTGATTAATGGGCAGCGCTGGAAGACGTCGCGACTTGAAAAATTACATTCAAAATAAACGACAGAGGCGTCGTGGTCGGCGTTTTAAAACGGCCCGTCACACGTGAAAAGGGAATGAAGGGGTGTTGGGGGATTGGGGGATTGGAGGTCAAAGGGCGTGAGGCGTGAGGCAGAAGGTGGGTGGTAAATGGGTGGCCATGGATAAGAAGGCCAGTGGCAGAGTGTCGCATATCGGGCAGCACGTAAAAGATGCAACAGGAGCGAGAGCAAACACCGTGTGATTTACACCCATCAAAGGGGGTTAGGGGGTTGAAATGGGGTGGTGGTCTGTGTCTGGGGTCGGGGGTCATACTGCAAATTAGGGGTTGACGCTGCGACGCACTCTGTTGTCAATTGAAAACGTGCCAACAATTTGCAACGACGATTAATCGTGCGACCAAACTGCGAGTCGTCGCAATTGGCAGTGTCTGCTGCTCCAGGACCAGTCTATCGCCATCAACTCCACCTCCTGGCCAGGGATCCGTCTGTCTGGGATCGTCCCTCGTCCTAAAACGTTCATGTTGCGACGCATTTGCAGCTCTGTTTGCGACCAAGTTTGCCCTGCGTTTGACTAATTTGTGTGGCCCCTATTATGCATGGCCGGGAAATGGGTGGCAAAATCGCAATGGAAATGGTGGAAAAGATGAAGCCAAAGGTGGGTTGCCGACTTAAGTCCGGACAGACGTCTGATGAGCACTTAATTCCCGGTCGCTAATTGGTTCCAAGAAGAAGGACCACGCTCCGGTGGGATGATCAAGCTCGGAAGTCAAGCGATTTGCCGATTGGCAGACGAAACAAAATATCTGGCGGCGCTTTAAGCCAGCTTAAATCACGGATATATTTACGGTGGGTTAATTATCGGTATTCGCTTAAATTTTAATCAATTTTTATCGCTAATATTTCTTCTTCTCCCGCCTTAATGTTATCATTAATAATGTGAATATAATTATGGAATGTCAAAGTGGGTAGAACGAAAAAAAAGCGTGAAATACAAACGCTTTATATAAGTATGCAGAAACAGAGATACTATGAGCGGGCCGTCATTAAAGGCTTTTGTATGCAATTACATGCTGCATTGAGCAATCATAAATTAGCTTTGGAAAAGTGCGATAAAAAGTATATATAGCGAAATTCAATTAAATTATAAAATGTGCAAAAATTTAATGCCCATAATGAAAAGTTGGCGCAGCTCATGTTCGCATTAATCATAACAATTTGCAACTCATTTTAGCCCATCTCATTTCATATATTACTAAAAAAAAATAAAAATACGATTGGCTACTGAAATCTGCCCACTGTATACTGTATATTCATATTTGTTTTAAATGTCAACAATCATCAATGCAAATTCACTGCAAATATAGCCAGTCATTCCTTATTTATCCTCGAACCGTCACATCAATTGCGATCGAGTGACATCTGATGGAGGGAAAAATGTGATTCGAAGTGGAAACCGCAACGGTGTCAAAGATATAAATATATATGGATACGTGATAGCTTGTTCAGTTGACCTTACCAATTAAACGAATGTCTTTTATTAAAGTAAAATTATATCGAAAATAAAACAATATAAATATTCCCCTTACTCATACTTTGTTTTTTTTTAATTGCAAGGTAGTTCAGTGTCAAAATTGTTTTCCTAAAACCGTAAAATGAAGTTAAAAAATCGTTCCCTTTTTGATGAGAATACATAGTGAAATTTGGTTTATAAATTTAATTATTGGACGAGCAACTTTAAGGGCAGGAATAACGTTTCGCTTAGCTAAGCATTTTCTGCGTTCTCCGATAAAATGTTCGACCCGGGTAAATATTTGTGCGAATATCTGCCGGATATACCATGAAGCCCAACTATGTGTGTCCATGTGGGTGTTTTTCTGGGCCATGTGTGTGTGTGTGTGTGTTTGCGAGCAAATTCTGCAATGCGTAGCTCAAAATTTCCAACACTAAATTGTTATGGTTTTTAGTCTTAAAGATAAATGTACTTAGCCAGAAGCCGGAGGACTCGGACTCGGATTCCGATTCGGTGTTGGTGTCTGTTCATAGTAAAGTTTTGCATATGCCCGAAAATATTTACTCGTGAGGAGATTGTTTAGTTAAACCATAAAAAGACTGCCATGTCCTTGGTGATTCGGGGTCCGTCGGTCGGTCGGGATTGCCCTGTGTCGTCTGCCAGAGACAAAGTAGCATTTAAGAAAATTTAAGCCGCAGGCGACTTAAAAACGAGACGAGTCCCTTTTTTGTCAGTGGTCCTTTTAGCCGGGCCATATGATTTAGCCATTCTGTTGTTGCTGCCATTGTTGAGGATTTTCCCCCAGCCTCCGCCTCCGCCTCCGCCTTTGCCTTTGGATTTTTTGCTCATTGTCTTGGGCAAAGCCCGAAAACAGCGAGACCAAAGTGGATGGCCAACTAGGACCAAAGCCCGGGATAGATGGATGGACAGGCAAACAATTGTTGTTTGTATCCTGGTTAGCTTTGGCCAAGGATCTACTGCTACTGCTGCTTCTGCTGCCATTGCGGCTGCTTTGGCTGCTGTACAAATTAGTTTCTAATACCTTCAAGTCAAACAGTGGACCCGGAGACCTTTGCCGGCAGGGCAAACAGACAGCCGGGCAAACACTGGATCTGTGGATCAAATCGGGCTTGCTCAAAGTCGGACCGGACCGGGCCAACACACCCACAAGTTTGCCGAATCACTTGAGCGTGTTTATGAAATAACGTCGAGTCTATATATTTTTGGGGCGTGTTCGTGGGCCTCTGAGCCGCCTAATTACAAAACCCATCCGTTGTCGATTGATTCCCCAGCAAATGGTATTTTAAATAGTTTCGCTTAGTTTCCCCAGCCCCATTAAAAGTCCACTTCAAAGATTGCGTAATGATGCAGCAGCTCCTTCGACCGAAAGTTGGACCGAAAACAGAACCACAAGACCATGTGGCGGGTTTAATGAGCTAACTGATTCTCTCGATTCCTCGCTCACCGTCATCCTCCGTTTATCTTTGGCCAAAAGTTTTAAAATTAATTTTTAATTGTTTATGCTGCAAAAGTTCTGCTTGGTTCAAAAGGAGCAAAACAACTGGAAACAAAGGGAAAAATATAAAACAACTCTTGAAACACTAAGAAATAATAAAGATACTTTTGTACTTTGTTTGCATTGTGTTTCCTTCTCGAAGGTCCTGATGCAGGAAATTAACCAGTTTTCATTAGACTAATAAAGGAAATTAGCGGGTTTGAAATCGTGATCTTAAAAGTTGCTGTTTGAGGTTAAATTGCAAGTATTTGAGCATTATCAAGATAATTTTTTGATATAGTTAATGGTAGATGTCATTCTTTCATTCAATTTTGTATAGATAGCAATGTAGTTTTTTGTATTTTTTTATATATATTTTCACTCTATGTTATGTTAAGACTTAAGTTTTTAAAATGTATTTTACTTAAAATTAAAATGTTCAAAGCGACATTCATTTGATATAATTAAGAGTTGATGTCAGACATTCATTTAAAATATAAACTATTATGGCATTTCTATTTGTTTGTTTATATTTTAATTATCTTTAAAATAGTAAAATAGTAAATTGAACTTTATAAATGCTAGTTAAGATTTTACGTGATCCGATCCGATCTTTGCGAGTTCCCTGGCCCTGTATTAGAACCATAAACGACAGCTGCTTTAAACCAACTAACCCAGAGATCTGAGACCTTGCCTTGAGCAGAGTTGAGAGCAGATGTGAATGCAAATTTTGAGCGGTATTCAGACAATAATCGGGGCAACAAAATGCCCATTGACAGCGATCGTGCATAGCCGTAATGCGGGTTGAGAACCCATGGGTTTTACGAGCGGGCCATTTGCATAACACTGGCCAAAAAGAGTTGATGGCGCGGTGTCAGCACCAAAAGCTAAAAGCAGCGGAAAACAGAGGCAATGCTTTATAAAGGAAAATTATGCAAATTGCTAATAAATTATAGTGAGCCAGCGAGCGACATGTAAAATAATAACAAGCGGACGGAGATGGCGATGGCGATGGTGATGGTGAGCTTTTTGGGAAGGAGGAGCGGTCGCGAATTGAATTACAAATGTAAACACAATGCCGCAGGACAGCGCAGGAGCTGGATGAGAGTTCCAGGACTTGCTGACAGGATGGGGGCACTGCGAAATCATTAAAATAATAAAGCGCTGTGTTCGCTTTCAAGACGACAACGACAACAACAACAACAACAAGAACGCCAACGACAACGAAGCGATGACGACGCTGACAACGGCGACAAGGACATTAACTGGCGAGCGGATAATGGCGAAACTTTTTGACATTTATTGTGTTTGTGTCGAATGTTTATTTATGATTGCACGCGGCCGGAGTCGGGCCGTATTTACATTACAATGATCAGAAGAGCATAACTAAGGGCCCATCCAGAGCCCACCCACAGCCCAACCATACTATAATATCATCGGCTTGTTTGCGTATGCGAATGTGTATTAAATTAATGATACTTTCTAGTTCATAAAATTCGTTATGCCAGAGCTTCGGGCTTTGATTCTGTGTGTGCGAATATCAACGTCAAAACACAAATCAAATAATCACATAAATGAGAGCACAACACAAACGGCCGCTCACATGCGGCGGGTGTGTCCATTGGATTGAAACAAATTGATTGTCATAAAACATCGTTTATACATATTATAATGTGTCATAGGATGTTCATGCTTCGCTTCATGCAAACCGCCAAAATCTATACAGTTGGGCACACATAATTTAAACCACCATCTGGCGCATTTTAAAACTGTGTTGGAAAAAGTTTGCTATGCAGAAAATATATTAAATAATCTAGTTGGTAATTTCTTTGGTTTTTAAAAATTCCTAAAATAGTGTTGACGCACATATTCAATATTCATCCTTTAAAATGATTTCGTACTTAATTACGAACATTTTTATTTTATTTGGTATGGTATTTGAATTGAAGTTAAAGGAAGTAATAGAAAGTAATACAAATCAATCGAAAAAACAAAAACAAATTAAGTATTAAATTGTTTTTGTTTAAAAGATTGTTTTATTTAAAAAACTTGCTTAAAATGTAGCCCTTTAAAAAATTTTGTATAGCTTTTCTAAATATATTTTGTATAATATTTCATTAAATTTAAGGAAGTCGGTGTAATGGAAGCTGTACTGTAGTAGCATCCTCATCTCGGTGGTCTGCCATTATTTCACAAGTGGCGATGTGAGTGATTGCGATAAGGACGTCGCTGTCCGGGGATCAGGAGTGGTTAATCTATATATATATTTGGTCGCTTTATGAGTTAGTTCCCCTAGCAACTCCCGAAGTCGAAGTCGAGAGCCAAAGCAGGCAAAATTTATGGTTGTTTACAGCAGATTGCACACCCCATTTGCTTTGTTTTGCACTCGCTGCCACTTGACACACATTTTGGGCCAAAACTCAAGATGGCTATATGACGATGACGATGACTCTTGAAAAACCGAAAAACTTACGCAGTTTTGTCTCTTTAATTAGTGCAAGGCCGCGGGGCGGGGAAGTGGTTGCCAATGTTCGTAAGACCCTCGGGAGGGCCAAAGTGAAAGTGCCTCAGCATCATATGCATGATTTGTGAAAAGTTTCCCCGGGTAACTCCAGTTTCCCCCATTCGTCTTTTTCCCCCTGCCAGCCAGTCAAGCTTGTTTTGCCAAGTTTATGAATTTCATAGCCAAAGTTTTTCGGCAGAGCATAACATGCGCCCAACTTGTAAGCTGCTCCCTTGTTTCCTCGTCTTTTCGTCCTTTTCGCGTGCAGCATATTTTCGGCGAAATCTTTGATATCCTTATGGCGAGGAGCAGTTAACGGGATGCGGGTTCCAGGACCCGCATATTACAGCAAAAACTCTGGCGGGTCGTTAAGTTCCACCATTTAACAATTAGCCGATTAAGCTGTCAGGATGGGTTATCGATGGGGATATTGTCTTTACTAGTGACAAGAAATAGTCATAAATATGTTTATTAAAATACAAATGCATAAAAAATGCCTTGGCTTTGTCCCAAATCTCTTCATAGTGTTTACTTATTTCGTTTTAAAAGGATAGGGGTTATATTTATTTTCTTTCCATTTATTAAGCTACCTATTTCTTATAAAATAATTATAATTTAAATATATTTCAAAACTAGAAAACTTGAATATTTTGCCTTCCTGATGAATATTCGTAATTTCCAACATAAAAGTAAAGTATTTAATTACTCCCTTAATAGCAAACAAACCAGGAAGTATATAGCAAACATTTAAGATAAAGCATTTGCATATTCCCACATGAAATATATATATATATATATAAATTATAGTTAAAATAACCAAAATTATTTTTAAAGATGCACCTTTCACACATTCCAAAGTGACATCAAAAACACAAAGCAAAATCCTGAACAAATAACAAAACGAAACAAATTAAAACAAATTGGAAAACTTATTAGCAAAAGCCATTAAACAAATACGACCGTGCTGCCCGTGCGACCTTTTGCCAACTATCAATCTTGAGCGGTTCGTTGAACTCCCAAACGAGTAGTACGCAAATTAGCGATAGTCACTTGAGAAATTAACGTTCGAAACTATTAATAAATGCCCAAACTGTGCGAGCAGCAAACGTAAACGTACGCCGCCATTAAAATGTTCGAACACCATTGTGTTTTTGCATTAGATCTTGTTAAGAGGTCCGATGCTCGCACTTGACCGTGAAACCATATCTTAAGCTCTGGCAATAGCAATCGAATCCGATCGAAGCAGCGAACGACAAACGAAAGCGAAACGTAGAGCGTTTAGTTCCGCACTGGGCAATCTTCGCCCGAACTCCACCTGGCCACTATGGGTTATATTAACCAAATTTTGTATACAAATTTCAATTATTTGATGATATAATAAAGAATTTCATTTGAGTCAATGTTTCTTCACATTTTGTAAAGATTGCGTTATTAAACAAAACTGAAAGCTATTCGTTAAGATATCTAAAATTTTTACTAAATCACATTTTTGTTATGTGTTATAGCAAAAACAAAAAGTAGAAATCATCAAATTTCATCAAAGAATATACACAATATGAGCTCCGAACTTTATTTTCTTCGTTTATATATAAAGTACTGGATGTGGTGTTGTTTAATTGCTAAAAACCAAATACGACAAGTGACTTTTAAGCTTCTATAACTTTAAAAACTGAAAACAAAAATTGAAGCATCACAAACGAAGAAGAGTAATTTAATAAGTTTGATGGTTTGATTTGTGTTTTGTACGTCGGACTTTTAAATCACTTTTGTATAACATATACAGATTAAATTTGTATTTAGTTATCTTTATATTTTCCAGCAATAATGCCAATTTCCCCACCGTACCGTGGACCAAACCGGCTACCAGCTGGGCTTAATTTCCACGTGAATATGAAGCCGGGAGTCGGAGACTGAGGCAGACACAGATACAGAAATGGAGATGGAGACGGAGACGGGGGCACTTGAGGGCTCGAGTGGCGCATGTTGGGGCTCATTGTTTGTTTTTGTTACCGATTCGGAATCGGTTTCGATTTCGATTTCGGCTTCCGCCGCTGTTTGCCGGCAAACAGAGCGCTGCTCATTGTTTGATTTGAAGCTGGCAAACATTGGAGCGTATAAATATGCGGACAAATTGCGACGATTAATCATTCGACCCATAGATTCCACCGTCAAAGCAATTAGCTTGGAGATCTATAGCAAAATGGTGAATATCCCAGTAGCATCAGGACCTGTAACCTCCAGGATTACTTCATTTAACACGCACTTTTCAATACCCTTGCAGAAACTTTTCCTAGCGTGCATCTTTATTGCCGCCGCGACGGCTGCAGTGATTCCTGTCGAACAAGCCAGGCACCGTCGTGACGTCACCGAGCTCGTGAACGAGTACATCCCGCCGGCGGAGGAAGTTGGCGCCGATCTGGCCCAAGACCCCGCTGCCCTGGGAGAGGATGGATACCGCTACAAGACCGTGCGCAGGCTGAAGCTCCGCCACCGCCGTGATGTCTCCGAGATTGACAATGAGTACCTGCCTCCTTCGGAGGAGGTCGTCACCGAAGCCCCTATTGAGGAAGCCCCCGTTGAGGAAGCCAGCCAAGATTCTGCTGTCCTTGCTGCCGATGGATACCAGTACAAAACCGTGCGTCGTTTGAAGTACCGCCAGCGTCGCGATGTCTCCGAAATTGCCAACGAATACCTGCCCCCTTCGGAGGAGGTCGTCACCGAAGCTCCCTTGGAGGAGGCTCCCGTAGAGGAAGCTTCTCAGGATTCCGCTGTCCTGGCCGCCGATGGATATCAGTACAAAACTGTCCGTCGCCTGAAGTACCGTCAACGCCGTGATGTTTCCGAGATCGCCAACGAATATCTGCCACCCACTGAGGAAGTTGTTGCTGATGCCCCAGTTGAGGAGGTTCCCGTTGAGGAAGCCAGCCAGGATTCAGCTGTCCTTGCCGCTGATGGTTACCAATACAAAACCGTCCGTCGCCTGAAGTACCGCCAACGTCGTGATGTTTCCGAGATCGCCAACGAATATCTGCCACCCACTGAGGAACTTGTTGCTGATGCTCCTGTTGAGGAGGCTCCAGTGGAAGAAGCTAGCCAGGACTCAGCTGTCCTTGCTGCCGATGGATACCAGTACAAGACTGTGCGTCGTCTTAAGTACCGTCAGCGTCGTGATGTCTCCGAGATTGCCAATGAGTATCTGCCACCCACTGAGGAGGTCGTCACTGAAGTCCCTCTTGAGGAAGCCCCCGTTGAGGAAGCTTCTCAGGATTCCGCTGTCCTTGCTGCCGATGGATACCAGTACAAAACCGTGCGTCGCCTGAAGTACCGTCAGCGTCGTGATGTGTCCGAGATCGCCAACGAATATCTGCCTCCTAGCGAGGAAATTGTTGCTGATGCCCCAGTTGAGGAGGTTCCAGTTGATGAAGCTAGCCAGGACTCGGCTGTCCTTTCTGCTGATGGATACCAGTACAAGACCGTCCGTCGTTTGAAATACCGCCAGCGTCGTGATGTTTCCGAGATCGCCAATGAGTACCTGCCACCCACTGAAGAGGTTGTCACCGAAGCCCCCATTGAGGAAGCTCCAGTTGAGGAAGCCAGCCAAGATTCCGCTGTCCTTGCCGCTGATGGTTACCAATACAAAACCGTCCGTCGCCTGAAGTACCGCCAACGCCGTGATGTTTCCGAGATTGCGAACGAATATCTGCCCCCCACTGAGGAAGTTGTTGCTGATGCTCCTGTTGAGGAGGTTCCGATCGAGGAAGCCTCTCAGGACTCCGCCGTTCTCTCTGCTGATGGATACAAGTACAAGACTGTTCGCCGCCTGAAGTACCGTCAACGCCGTGATGTTTCCGAAATCGCCAATGAGTACCTACCCCCTACCGAAGATGCTGCCACCGAAGCTCCCATTGAGGAAGCTCCAGTTGAGGAAGCTTCTCAGGATTCCGCTGTCCTGGCCGCCGATGGATATCAGTACAAAACTGTCCGTCGCCTGAAGTACCGTCAGCGCCGTGATGTGTCCGAGATCGCCAATGAGTACTTGCCACCCACTGAGGAGGTTGTCACCGAAGCTCCCATCGTGGAGGCTCCAGTCGAGGAAGCCAACCAAGATTCTGCTGTCCTTGCTGCGGATGGATACCAGTACAAAACCGTGCGTCGTCTTAAGTACCGTCAGCGTCGTGATGTGTCCGAGATCGCCAACGAATATCTGCCTCCTAGCGAGGAAGTTGTTGCCGATGCCCCAGTTGAGGAGGTTCCAGTTGAGGAAGCTAGCCAGGATTCAGCTGTCCTTTCCGCCGATGGCTACAAATACAAGACCGTGCGTCGTCTTAAGTACCGCCAGCGTCGGGATGTTTCCGAGATCGCCAACGAGTACCTGCCGCCTTCGGAGGAGGTCGTCACCGAGGCTCCCTTGGAGGAGGCCCCCGTTGAGGAAGCTTCTCAGGACTCCGCCGTCCTGGCCGCCGATGGATACCAGTACAAGACCGTGCGTCGCCTGAAGTACCGCCAGCGCCGCGATGTGTCCGAGATTGCCAGCGACTACCTGCCGCCCACCGAGGAGCAGGTGGCCGTTGATGCGCCCGTCGAGGAAGTGTCCCAGTCGCAGGACTCCGCCGTCCTCGGTGACGAGGGCTACCAGTACAAGACCGTGCGCCGCCTGAAGCTGCGCCACCGCCGCGCCCTGTAAGCCTGGCTGTCCTCTACCTTTGTATACCTGTATACCTGTACCTGAACCCGAACTGCTCGTTCGCGACTAGAAGCACTCACCCCACCAACCACTACTAGGCCGTAAGTTTTGCTATTATTTAACGATTGAAATCAACGAATAAATCCAACGAAAATTGTTATACCATAACCGAGCCCATTTCAATGGGCCACGCACCTGTTGGGAATGGGACTTGGACTTGGACTCGATTCCATAAATTGTGTACCTTTTCGCTTAGTTATGACAGCAACAGTTAAGCTCATGGCTCAGCGCACAAGAACGCAATTATCCAAAGGCGAGTCGGACGACGAGGGCAAAGGTGAAGGGTCAGCGGGTTGGCCAGGACTCGACCCGGGATCCGGTCCCGGGTCCTGGCACCTTGCTCCCAGCCAGGCGCAACTTCGGCGAACTCTAACAAATACTTTAAGCTATGCTTTTGAAGATGTTAATCTCATGTCAAGTCCACTTTACACACAACGTTAAGGGTTTGCCCTGGCCTGCCATGTCCTGCTCAGCCCCTTTATCCCTGCACTGAAAGAAAACAGGGGAAGTTGCTGGTCAGGAACATAAAGGAATTTCATATTAAATCTTTATGCAACTCAATTTAAATACAGCATATTTTTAAAATATCTAATAAAGATTACACTATAAAAAAAAAAACAAAAAAAAAAAATAAATAGAAAAAAAAAATTATGATAATAATAATAAACTGTTAAATCGAAATCAAAACTTCATATAGTTGCGAAATTGATATAATATTTTTTGAATAAGATATAATAATAATACAAATGTAAAATCGTAATCAAAATGATGAATAATTTTTGTAATAATAATCATTTGGTTAATATTTTGTTAAAATGTTCCCACCCGCCAGGAACAAAGTCAACCATTGATTTGTGAGTGTGTGTGTGCGGGTGTTTGGTGTTGGCAGCAGCAGCGGCAGCAAAAAAAGTTGTTAAGTTAAAAGGCATTTGAACCGCAGCGAGCCAAGGATTTCGGTCAGCGCTCCTTTCCTGGGATCTAACAACTTCCTTTGCACGCGCCTCCAACAACGAGGTTTGGCCAAAACGGGCAGGACGCGGGGGCCACAGCCGTTGGACAGACCAACTAATAATAATTTATCGATCCCCTAGCCCAAGTAGTCACATACGTGGGTCGCCCTATGATTTATGGCAGCCAGGGACTTGAGTGGGCGGGTCCAAAACGGGGATCTGGAGGAGGAGAGGTCGGAGGAGGAGGTCCTGGCACAGTCCAAGGTGCCAGACTGGCGGCCAGCGCAGTGCCAAATTGGTTTAATGTGTGGTTAGACAACTTATTTAACGTTTTCAAGTGGTTAGCGCCCACACAATCTCGCCCTGCCAGATGTGGAGCAGGGACAGTCAGTCAGCGGATCGGGCACTCAGGTGGCCCAGCTCTCGTTGCCCGCGGCCAGGTGTGGATACACTACACTAAAACCGTTTTATAACCATAGTTTTGAAGAATTTTTTCGAATAAATAAATTATACATTAACAAGAAATGCTAACCAAAGTTTTAGATGTTAGAAAGCCGTTGTTTGTTAAAGGGCCTTGCAAAGGCCGAACTTTGAGAAAACTTATAGTTTTCATAAGGTAAACCCGTAAAATCTTAAATATATATTTAACTTTAAAAAACTGGGTGCCTAACTGGTGCCTAAATATATTGATGTTCTCCATTAGGAAATTTTAAACTAAATCTCAGCAAATTAAAATTTGTTTTATAATAGAGTAGATTGCTACATCTTTAATTTTAAGATGTTTTGATTTGATCCACCGAACTTTAAGGGATTACAGAAATAACAGTAAAGTTTGTTAAAATAATGCAGTTAATAATGTTGTTGTTTTACAAAAAAAAATTATTATTGTATTACAGACAGACATGACTGTTTGTTTTTACATATTTCAACTATTTATTGAAATTTGCTACTCCATATTTTTCTGAATGTACGCCGATTTGTTTCGTTTTGTTTGGCCCCATAAATCATGCAATGCCGTTATTTACTCTTTGTCGAGCGGCAAACTGGTTACGTATGCCACTATCTGCGGTATCTACAAGTGCACAAGCCCCCGGGCTAACGCCTCCACTTTGGTGGGGTATTGGGCACTCAAATCGGAATGGAGCATAAATCAGTTGAAGCCATTTTGTGAGCACGCCATCAAGGCGAAATTATGACATCATTAAAACAATTATCTGCGCTAAATTATACGATCTGATAAGTCGCGACAAGACTTTCCTCACTCCCCACAAAATATAGTTTCATTTTGGGGGGAGCAATCACATAAAAATTTTATGAATTATTTCAAATATTTTCAATTACCAAGGGTTCAAGCCGGCGCGAAAGCTGCGGAGCACCACATAAATAGATTTATGCTCCACTCGAGCATGGCACATTAACAGGACATTCCAAGGAGCAGCGACAGTAATGAAAGTGAAATTATGGCTTTCGACCCTGACCCGCTGGCAACTGCCTCAAATTTTAGCTTGATTAAAATTCAAAAAGTTCTCGGTCACATGCTCGGCCATAATTTATCACTTAATGGCCTCTCATTATTGAAGTGGGGTGTAATTTGTTGATCCAACTGTCTCACCAAAATCAATTCCCGCCGCTGATTAGCTCGGCTCCCCATTTTAGCCACATGCAAATAGAACGATCTGAGGGACAGGATAAGATGTCAGGATACCACTGCTCAACCATTATGACATCAGAAACACAGGGAAAATATTCTGGTAAATTTCCACTTTTTCCAGAAATTTAAAACCAGTTGTTGAAGTTAATCCACGATTCTTTAAGCTTGCTTCATAAGAAAAGATATATAAAATTTGTAAAACCAAGATTTTTATAAGCAAATATTAAAGAGTAAGTCCCTTAATCCTCGAATATCACATTTCTTTCGGTGCAGGGACATGGACATGAACATGGACATGACTATATCTATCTGTGTGGTAAACATGGAGCAGCAACTTTATGACCACAATATAATTTATTCAATGCCATTTGGGGGAGCCAAAGCAGGAGACGGGGCCACAGCAAGACAAGCAATTGACATTTTTGTGACTTTTGAAAACTATAAAATGTGCAGCTCGGAACATGGTACATGGAGCATGGCAACTAGCAAATAGCGAACTCAAGCCAAGGAAAGGCAAAAGCATAATGATGACGGGCATAAAGACCACACAACAGACAGCTCTGGCTATATGGTTATACCATACCATACCAGACATACGAGTATAGAGACCAGAGACCAGTCCGGCTGAGCCGGGCATAAAAATAGCCCCGACGGAGCCCGTAGTTGTTGGACAAAATAATAAAGTTGCGCTTGATTATGTGCTGGCCTCGGACACAAAGAAGTAAATACAAATACGCCGGCAACTAGACTGAAATTGTCAGGACTTACAGGACATTACACGTCCGCCCACGAGGATCTGTTGGCCACAGGACCTTGGCCATTTGTCCATTTGTCCAGCTCGTCAACAGCCAACCACCGGGCAGCAACAGCAACATCAACAGCTACAGCAACACACCAACTTGCACATCCACATCCACACGAGACCGGAGGAGCGTATGCCGGATATCCTTTTTGACATGTCATTAAATTTTATACACACAATAATTTTTCACAATTTGCTTTATGGCCATTTTAAGAGACTGTCCCGTGTTGAAAATTCTCCACACGCCCATGAAAACATCGACACCCCGAACAAAGGTTAAGACAGTGATATAGACACATATCAAATGCCTTAAGTTTTCCCCGACTGACCGGTGAAAATGATGAATGGACAGGGGCCAACTGCTTTGGGTCAACGAAATAAGATGGAATTGATATAAAATTGCTGTAGAATATTCAATCATTCACTGGGTGAGCTTATGTTACGACTTAAGAAGAGCTGTTCTCAGATGTTGGGCAAATTGAAAATTATTTGTACATTTTCAATGAGTTGATGTAGCGTTTTGCATAAATAATAAGGCCAGAAGCTTTGTCTGGCATTCCGTTAAAAGGTTTGCTGTTAAGGGTTTGGCGAAAACTAATCAAGCTTATTGCTCTGCAAGTTTTATTTTGACTCGGGAAAATATAAGCTGTTATATTGTTTAATAAAAACAAAGCATTGATTTTTAATGTTTATTAAAACGTTGGCCTGTTCAAAAATATAAATGAAAAAAAATCAAGCATTCGCTGCAAAAGCAATCTACAAACTTACTTCTAAATTCAGAATGTTAAACTTTATAAAAAAACCAACACCTAATTTAAATTTTAGCTAATTCATAGCTTTGCAAGTGACTTAGACGAAAGCCCCCCACTGTCCTACTCCAATGAAACGCACTAAATGATTATTTGTAATCATCTTTCGGAAGGCAAACATCAAACCGCAGAACGATTATGGCAACTCTCTACGGTCGTAAGCTCCCAAGGCAAAAGGCAGAAGGATCCGCATCCGAAGGACACTTGTCTGTACTGTATAATTTTACGGCCATTAAGTATTATTTCAAAATCGAACCGAGTCACACTAAGCCTTTGTTTGCTTGTGTCCGGTGTTTGTAGATTGCTGAAATTATAGACTTTATTATGACAAACTGATGACTGGGCCAAGTGCCGGTGTTGTTAAATTGGCTTAAGGTGGAATTATAGAGTGCCGAAACGAATCGAACTGAATCGATACTAGGGCAATCAGAGGGGGGCAAGAAGCAGTCAAGTCAAAACAGACAGATATCCCCACAAAATGCAAAGCGAACTTGAAAAGTCTGCAAAAAGGGGGGCATTTTGGCGGGGAACTGCACTTCCCGACTTGTAACCCCGCCCCTTGCCATCCCGCTAGTTAGCCATATGTGGTTGTCAACCAAAGCCAAGTCACTCTCTGGCAATAAAGGAAATCTTCTTACAAAACATTCGCTTAAGTTTATTCAAACCAACTTAGATAACACTCGAAGAATAAGGAGACCGAGCAATATATGGAATGGGTTTGGGTGAGTATCAGGATGAGGGGAAATAAAGGAGACATCCGGAGCAGGGAGCAGAGACAAAGGAGCCACCAATCAGTCAGGCGGAATAAGCATCACCGCACGAGCCCTCAAACTTTTCTTCGTCCCTCTGCCCCTTCCAATATCCCCCAATTACAATGTCTTTTGTTTTATATATGT